AAGCCTGAGGGGGTGACAGCGCCTGCCCCAGGAAAGGCTGAAAGGCATTTGCAGCGCCGCCGATGCAGGACTGCTTAAAAAATGAGTTCGTTGCCCTGTCATGGTCTAGTCAACACAGGTCTTCACAGTATCACTTGAAGTGACTGTGTGAAATGAAAATATTTGCCACAGAAAACAGAAGTAGAGCAAAAAAGACAAAATTTAATCTCAAGGTAAGGTTTGGAAATAAAATATGAGCACGATAGAGCAGGATGAGAAGCATCTTCCAGAGAGCGGAGGAAGACATCACTTTTGGCAATGTTTGAACAGTATTGAATATCTGAAGGAGGAAAAGCACCATGGTCTTGCCCATTGCAGTGTTGCAACCATGGGAAGGGCCCTTCAAACATGAATTTTGTTTAGAAGAGGGTTTTTTTCTTCCTTTTAGTTCTGGTTTTAAGCGACCTCTGTCTGACTCTATGCTGCAAATAGCAAGGAACTTTTTCTGATGCAGGCTGATAACTAAGTATATCCAGACATTTCTGGAGCAGGATCTTTAATAAATGCACTGTGTGTCCTATGCTGAGGTTGTGTGTCAGCAGCGGTGTATGCTAGAAAGTATAGGAATGAGCATTGATTGTGAGAGCATTCGGAAAGTTTTGTTCCAAAGCAAGAGGATGAATCTGAAATGAAGCCTGTATGGGCAATGATAGATGAAGCCCTTGAGGAGAGGGGTGGTGAGGGTTGTTCTGCAAGTGCAGGTTGCTGATGCTGAAGGAGCTGGCTGTAGAGAACATGGGAAAGGCCGCTGGAGCATCTTGCTGCGGAGTGGCTTGTGTCCAGAAATAGTTCCCTCCTTTTGCATTGAAATCTCTTGCTCCTGCCACAGATCCCGTGGCTCTTAGACACCAGGCCTGAGCCCTTAGTCATTTTCTGTTTGAAAATGAAGAAAAGAAAACCCCGCAGAGCTGGGGAAACCCCGAGGGAAAATCTGCTTTGGTTGCAGAAGGGCCTGTGGAAATTCTGAAGGGCTTGAAAGTAAGAAATGTTCATGTGCTGCATAAGAAACGAAAAAAGGAAAACCAGAACAACGAAGAATCCAGGGATTTCAGACAAGTTCTGAAACAATTATTTTGTGGCCTGAACTTGTTGTTATTTATTAGAGCAGTAGTTTGTTGTGCTCAGGAGCAGCATATACCACTTCTGCTTTTTTAATTAAGTGTTACCTGCTAGGTTATCTGCTTTTTTTAATGTTAAGATTCATTTTAGGTGCTTATGTTTACTACTGAAATGTTACTTCTAAAGATCAGATGGTTCTATCAGAATTCAGTACAGCAAAGACTTAGCATTTGTAGAATAATAACTGAATTTATTAATCTGCTCTTCTGTTTTGGTTTCAGTGTCCTGCATTTAGCCATTATCCACCTTCATACTGAGCTGGTGAAAAATCTCTTGGAAGTGGTGCCAGATTTGGATTGCCACGACGTTATCAACATGAGGAACGACCTCTATCAGGTGGGCACTTGCCGTGGGACCGGTGATGCTGATGATTCAGCCAGCAAAGAAAAACTTTTGTAATTTACCTTCTGTCTTGTATTTCCTTTACTCGTCAGAATAAACTCAGGTCAGGCGGCTGTAGCACAAACAAATTTAGATGTTCTGGAACGGGAGAGCACAATGACCTTATGTAAGGTGCTGGAGGAGCAAGTGCCCATTTCCATTGTTTTAATTCATAGCTCCCTTTATGCCAACAGAAATGCCTCTGTGCTTATTGTAGAACAGAACAAATACACTGAATTATTCAGTGTATTTCTTCATTAGCTGGCAGTGCTACTGTGGAACCAGTGGAGTGGCTTACAGAGCCAACTTGGGGCTTGCCTGCCCTTTGGAACTCAGGTTCATGAGTCACTGTGTCATTAGTTATCTATAGGTATGAGGAAAGTTAAACAAATTCAGCCTTTTTTGTAGGCTACCTGGTATTTGTGCCCATCTTATGAGCTTCCCTTTTGATTTTGAGGGCCTTTGTAACAAAGCAGCACAAAAGGCCATCCCCCATCTTTTTACCTAGTGGGGAACAAATTATTAATTGCCAACCATTCTCTGTTCAACTTTATCTGGGGCAGAGCCCAGGTTTTTTATTGTAACTCCCAGGTGTGTGATTAAGAGCTGTGAAAACCTGCCTAGAAAAAGAATCCCTTTTCAGCCGTGTGCAGCTTTCAGTTGTCCCACAGGTGACCGAGTGCCTGCACGTTACAGGACAGCACTGTGATGCTGCTCCTCTTCCTTCCTGCTCACCCCGGAGCTGTGCACAGCACGGGCAGGATTTCCTCCCACGCAGATAATCCCCGAGGCCTCAGTGCGACTGTTCTCTTCCACATTGCACATTTATGTTCCTATAAAGGAAGTGCAAAATATGGAGGCTGATGAAAACAAGCAGGAGATTATGAATTGAATTCTGTATATAAGGGAAGCAAAGCTGTGCTCCATTAAAGAAAGAAATCTGTAGCTACCAGGGCCTCTGTAGTTACTCCTGCCTCCTACATAAGCCTTAAGGCAGTGGTGGGAGGGAGGACAGGCTTGGGTGCTATAATCCTCTGTTGGTTAACATAACAATTTGCAGGTAGATAAAATCAATTTTTAGATCTTTTCAGTGTTGGGAATATGATATAGTTTCCTGTTTAAACACACACATTACCCTTGTGAAAACGTTAAAACATGATGCTCTTTATTGGCAAGGCTCTGACAAATGCAGCATTTTCTCAAGACTAACAGCCTTCATTGGCTTAAGAGATTTCTGTTGGAGTGGCATAGCCGTGGCTCAGCTTCTCACGTCTTCTCTGTCATCTCCTAGACCCCCCTGCACTTGGCAGTTGTCACGAAGCAGGCGGCTGTGGTAGAAGCCCTGCTTGTGGCTGGAGCAGACGTTAGCCTCCTGGACCGACACGGTAACTCCGTCCTGCATTTAGCTGCTACTGAAGGAGATGACAAGATTTTGGGCCTGCTTCTCAAGCACAAGAAGATAACTCCAGTGGCGGACCTTTCCAACAGTGAAGGTATGGAAATATAATGGCAGCATTTTATAGTTATTGGACAAGCACAGTCATTTTTGACAATACACTGTTTAGACACAGATACATCCAGCCCTTGCAAATAGTAAATAGCGTCTTCTAAGCTGCTATTTGCTGCTGATACCCTTGGGCTTTTTCACATATGAGGGAATATAGATGTGATTTCCTGGTTACACAGAGCCCAGGTTTGGTAATGTCCCTGTGATAGAGTGGGGATTTGACTTATAGCKTAAGTACTGACTCTGTTCCTCCACAGAGGCCTTATGCCACCACTGCTTAAAAAAAAAAAAAAAAAAATCCCCTCAGAAGAAAATGTTTCTTCCTCTCTAGAGAACAAAATCCCCTGAAAAATAATTTCTTGGACCCGTGTCAGCTTTCACATCTGGTAATTTGTCACTATGCAGAATTAGAGCCTATAAAATAATCATGAAACTCTAATTTTGYTACTTTTTAATGGCAAGGGTCATTTGAATTTAGTATTTCACTATGTGATTCGAAACCCCATGCTAAGTTCCTTAGAGTTTTTTTTTTTCCCAAGTGTATAAGACTAATTTTTGATGTAGTGAGGGTAATCTTGGTGGAAAGGGCAGTGTGACCTTACAGGAAGGTGACACTAAAACATAGCCCTTCTTCCCTAGAATATTTTTAGAAGAGATTGTTCAGTAGCAGGCAGGACCTGTGCAGGGTACATAATTATTCGGTGACAATTGTTCTGTGACAAAGACAGGGTCTACATGAACTCTCTTTAGTTTTGCCCATGCGTGACTTCGATTCACCACAATGACACAACTCATCCCAATTTAGGCACAAAGAGCATCTTTATTAATACCATGTTTTTACTGCACAGCCAGACAAAACAAACTACTTGTGCTTAGATAACCACAGTAATTCTCAGTCATCTTATACAGTTACAGATATGGCTACTCAAGAAAACGTCTTAATCTGAAATTTCAAAATTTTTCAAATATGTAATGGTTGGATTTTGTTTTACTGTAGGTCTCAGTGCGATTCACATGGTGGTGATGGCAAATAGCGTGTCCTGTCTCAGACAACTGATTGCTGCTGGAGTTAATGTCAATGCTCAGGAACAGAAATCTGGACGCACTGCATTGCATTTGGCTGTTGAACAAGAGAACATCCCCTTGGCAGGCTGCCTTTTGCTTGAGGTAGGGGCTGATTTCTTTTTTTTTTTTTTCCAGGTCATTTCACTTCAGAATTTTAAAGCCTATAAATATTTAAAGTGCTTAAGTGTAACAGAAGCTAGGGCCTTTTACATTTTCCCTGTTGATTGATTTGGCTGATGAGTTGGTACACAGGTGAAATGAGTGCTAGTGGTGCTCCTTATGACTTGTTCAGCACTGCTAGTGAACCCTTGTGCAGAGGTTGGGGAATCTGCAGTTTATGACCCTCGCCTGACTGCCTGTGCCCCGTGTAATTTGCATTGAGTGGAGCGAGCAACACTGCGCCTGTGCATGACAGGCCTTAGGGCTGGCGTGTGGAATGCAGGCACAGATGAGCCCAGGGCAAGAGCTGGGGCCAGCTGGACATCCTTGTCTCACCTCTGTACACCCTTGTCCTGGGGTGTGTGGTTCTATGGGCCCCTAATAGCAGCAGCAGCAGCAGCAGCAGGCTTTTCACGCTATGGCTCCTGCTCTGGAGCCCTACAGCATGAGTGGTTCCTGCATGCAGACAGCTGGTGCTACTTCCTAATCCCTTCCTGTCATGGCAGGGATCAGCAGTATTGCACACACAGGCAGGGATGGGGCCGCAGGTGCTCAGGGTAGCTGTGTTTGTGCAGCATAAGCTTCTGCAGCTGCCCTGTATRTGCAAGCAGCTCTTTCCATAAAAATGTAGGGCGATGCAGATGTGGACAGCACTACCTATGATGGAACAACTCCTCTTCACATAGCAGCTGGAAGGGGCTCTACAAAACTGGCAGCGCTTCTCAAAGCAGCAGGTATGAAAATATGGATTACCTGGCAGTGGGATTTTACAGTGTAAATTCAGAGTGGAAGGTTGTGCATAGAAAGGAAGGTCCCAGTGAGCTTACTTAACACAGAAGAAAGCAGGTGTTAAAAGCATGAAGGTTTATTTCTAGTCAGAAGTCCCACTTCCACGAGGCTGTGCTTCTCTTTAGCACCATCTAATGGATATGAAACATTGCATCAGGCAAAAAATCTCCCAAGCACTTAAAGAAAATATTGAGACTTATTTATTAAAATTTCTTGTATCTAAAGAAGCAGAGATGACCTTACACTTGAGAATTGTTAGAATACCATAAAGACAAAGAAAAACATCAGTGACTTATGAGCTTCCTAGCATCTCCTGTTTCATTCCACTGTAGCAACATGAAGTTTTGAGTGTTYATTGCAACATTTTCCAGTTCTTTGTTTAGGTCATTATACTTGTTTTTTCATTTTTAAAATAGAAAGCCAATCCACCCATTGCTCAGAGGGTATGCTTGGCCTGTAACTAACACTGAATAACTTTCTCTGATACTAATGAGCAGCARCACCCCCTTACTTCATCCCACATGCTCTGCCTGAGCCAAGAGGAAGACTCAATGCCAGCTTATATGTAAGGGYCCTTCTTTCCTTGGTCCTTCAAACTCTGCTTTTGATGGTTCCACCTGTAGAGTGCAGACAGCAGCGGTACACAGGGACATGACAACACCTCAACTGTAGTGGTTACAAAAGAAAAAAAATATATATTCATTAATAGAAAAACCTACTTTAAATGTTAGTAAAAAAAATTTGCTATTCAAAATTTAGAATGTATGTTTTAAATGATATATATTAAAAATAAAAAACCTAAAGCCTTTTGGGGGGATTTTTTTTAATGCTCATTTTCCAGGTGCAAATCCTCATATTCAGAATTTTGAGCCTTTGTTTGATCTAGAGGATGTACAAGATGATGATGAAGGAATTGTGCCTGGAACGACCCCACTGGATATGGCGGCCAACTGTGAGGTAAGCAATCTAGCTCCTTTCTCCTCTTTTTTGGAATACTAAGTGACACTTAAGCTCACACTGAATTTGTTTTGTTGTCTGTAGTTATTTCAGTGATGGTGACTTTACCAGAGCTCCTAATATGTTATCAAAAAAGAAAGAAAGAAAGAAAAACCCATGAAACAGCACTGGCAGAAGCTTCCACTGAACAGACTGCTTAAAATAAGAYGGGAATAACCAAGCACTTCTTGATTGAGTTGTGCTAGGGTCTTCAAGAGGGGAAATTATTTAGCTGACTGGGTGGCAGGTACTTTAAGGCACATACTCAGGCTGAGACCCTTGTAGCAGGTTCTTCACTGCATGCTCTTCAGGATTAGATGCTTTTGCTAGGGCACTAAAGCATAACCATGCACTCTTTTAAATTACTCCTTGCAGGCAGTCCTAAGACTGCTGGATTTTATTTCCTGCAGCCCTCCTCCATACCTTAAAAACTCAATAGACTTGCCAGATAACATTGCTAAAGGGCAGGGGAGATGATGGTCTCAAGGTTTCCCCCTCAAACTCTGTACAAGGCAGCTGCAGTAGTTCTGGGACAGAAAGATGGCCTATTTACAGATGACAATAGAGATTTAGATAACACTACAATGTCTCAAGATAAAAAAGTATTCCCAAATATTATTTTTACTGTTTGTTTGTTTTTTAGGTGTATGACATATTAAATGGCAAACCCTATGAATCAGCAGTAGCTTCAGCAGACTTGCTGATCCAAGGTAACATCTATAAAGAAAGGCAAAATTCCTCTTGTACTTCACAGCAGAGTACTCAAAGTGTACTCGCAAGGAAGCTGTTGCTCTGCACTCGGCTTGGAACTGAAATCAGGAAGGGGGAGGGGAGAGGAAGCCCCCACAGGTTCCTAAAAGGACCAGGCTGCTGTTCAGAGGTTGGTCACAGAGACCCAAAGGCGTGAGTTTTTACAACTGCAGTTACATAATAGTCATTGATGGCCACTAAAGTAGATATCTCTCTTCTATGGCATTGTTTCTGTTTAGAGATGAGCTGGTGGGTGTGATTTGTGTAAATAATCAACTAACATCCTTCCTAGGGCATATGAAAGAGCTGCATGAGAGCTCCAAGTTGCAGCTTTACAAACTGCTAGAAGCACCYGATCCAAACAGAAACTGGTCTACACTTGCACAGAAACTGGGGCTGGGCATCCTCAACAACGCCTTCCGTCTGAGCCCTTCCCCATCAAAAACTCTGCTAGATAACTACGAGGTACTGTGGCCTTAGCAGGGCTGAGGGCAGCCTGCACTCCTGCCTGGTGAGACAGCGCCTCCCCTCATGTTTTAGCAGGCCTACCTGTGGTGACATCTTGTGTCGTCTTCTCCCGTAGGTGTCCGGTGGCACCATCCAGGAGCTGCTGGCTGCTCTGAGGCAGATGGGCCACACTGAAGCCATTCAAGTCATTCAGGAAGCGCTACCTGTCTCTCAGTGCCACTTGCCCCGGGAGGACAGCGCTACAGAAGCTCTTCCCTCTCCATCACCACCCTTCTCCTCAAAAGGACAGACAGGTAAGACAGACAGCAGGATACAAGCTTTCTTGGAGAAATATTATATATGTATGGATATATATTAGTTAGATTAGATGGATATTATGGATATATATTACATAGATATTTTTTGGACAAATATATAATATCATGTATTGTATATATGGAGAGAAKAGAAAAATATCTATTCTTGCTTTCTTGGACTGCCACTAGATTTTCCAGTTTTTCACACACACGCTGCAGAGCTGCTTACTGCTTCCAGAAATGCTTTGTTGTAGCAGGACTTCCTCATTTACACTTTTGCTGGGCCTAGAAAAGACAGAAATAAGCAGCAGTAGAATCAGTAGTCCTGAAGCACAGTATTAATTATATTATTTCTAAAACTAGTCATCTACCATTTCCTGATATTAACTCCTAAAGGAGTTAAGGATAGGTCTTTAGGATAATATTGAAGGGGTAGGAGAAGTTTTGCTGCTTTAAACGTGAAGGGACTGTATTACATGTTATTTGCAAGTGGCTGTTTACAAATTAACAAAATCCTGAACTCCACCAGCTCCTGGCTTGTGATTCACCTGCACTGAGCCCTCCCCACACCAGCACATCGCGTACAGTTCTCTTGCCCTCAGGCATCCATTTCACAGCTTGCACAGTTGGCAGCTGCTACTGTACTCTTCATATTTCAGGCTCACTTTAACTTGATAAAAATGATTCAAGTATTTATCTCAAAAAGAAATCTCTAAGTGAAGTAGCACAGGGGAGGTTTAGAGGCCTCAGCCTGGAGCTGCACACTTGCCCAGGGTCTATGCACGAGGTACAGAGAACTTTGTACCCTGYTACAGTCACACTCCTACCATGTCCTGATGCTGGAGTGCGGTGACAGCGCCACCTCCAACAGAGCACTGTGTTTCTCATCCCATCCAGCCCGACCAGCTCTGTCAGCAGGCAACAGCAGACAGCAGGGCAGCAGATCACATCTTCTGGCTAGCTGAAACCATTCAACACTTTTCCCCTGAAAAGAAAGAATTACAGTTGGAGTTTCTTATACAACAGCTTTACTGTAGCCCTATACWCCTCAGGCTGTTGGGGACACGACTGAAATGAATAAAATTGTAACATTTTTTCCCTTCTCTCTCTCAGGTGAACTTTATAACAGCCAATTTCAAGAGAACGAAAGTGTGTGCGATAGTGGTGTGGAGACGTCCTTCCGCAARCTGAGCTTCACTTATTCTGAGTCTCTCAACAGCAAGTCATCAATAACACTTAGCAAACTGACCCTGGGCTATGGACATGAAAGTTCAGTGCAAAGTAAAATATAGTTAGTTAGCAAAATGCACTGACAGGAACAAACGTGACATTTAACACATGTGTCACCCTGTTGAATGGGAAGTCAATTCAGAACAAAACCACACCAAGGAACCACACACACCTGGAACAACTGCGCCTTCAGCATGTGGACACGTACCCATCGCTTCCTTCCTCACATAGGTTTGTCTGTTTGCACACCCGATACCATCCCCGGGGCACCATGGCCACCRCGATGCCCAGCACTGGACACTGCGACCGATTGAGCATTCCTCATGTGTGAGCATTTGCCCTTTGAGATGAAAGTCACTCCTTATAAATGCATGATACCAGCTCACTTAAAAAGAGGTAAGGCACATAGAGCAATCACGGGATACACAGGCTCTAGCTTATCCCCTCACAATTCTTGCACCATTCCTTGAGAAAAAGTTAATAAAATAGCAGGCAAAGAAAAAATCATGACTTTAATCACAGTAATGACTATTCTGAAATATAAAAGACAAACTTAAAGATTTTGTATATTTCAATGTATTTAAACTTAACTTTGATGCCTCCTATTCAAATTTTTTTCCAAGTTTAACATTTTCCTATTTGTAAATAGTTTTTATATCAGTTTCTTTTTTWAAAAAGAAAGTGTGCTTTTAAATGCTTATTTTTATTTTACTTTTATAATAAAAATCCAAAATTAAACCTGTTGTCTGCATTTGTTGCAATTCCTACCTATTTTTCAAAAAGAGCTACTAAAAATGTATTATTTCAGCTTCAGGAACTGACGCAAAGTTCTATCTCGTTCCAAATATTAACCCTCTCCTTTATCTTACAAGCAACTTGTGTTACAGCTGTTAACAGGGGGAAGCTGGGAGCATCAGTTGCTGCTGAGCAGCTGTGCTTTGGCACCCAAGCTTCTGAGTTGCAGCCTCTCTTATTTCCCTTTTCTTGTAATTGCCGCAGCACATAATTCCACACAAATCAACTAACTGAGCATATCAGCAAAAACTCAAAGCATGTCTGCTAACTGGGCTCCTGAGCAGCATCTCCTTTTGTTTCATGGTTGCAGCAGTTACAGACATTGCCCAGACTTACCGAGACTGCAGAGCAGGGCCTGGGCTCCACGATGCCACACACAGCAGGGTCTGGCTGCTGTCGCTCCCCTGCGGCCGCTTTCGTGACCCAAGCTGGAGCTTTGATGAAGCGCAGCTCTGAGCTCACCTCAGGCCCCAGGAACCACAGCGCAGCTCCTGCAGGGAGACATGAGTTGTTAGCATTAGAGTCATTCAGGCCACACTCAAGTGTGCAGTATTTGCTGTAATAAATTAAACCCCTATCAGTAAAAAAAAAAAAAAAAAAGGCAATTTTTTACATCTAGCTGAATTCCCAAATTACTTCCAGAGAAGCAGGATGGACAGTGCTATAAATGCTTTTAAAACAACAGAAATCATCTGGGCCTGTAGTTCCCTGAGCGTTTTGTGACCAAATGCTGTCAACCAGCTATTCATCAGGTTACTGATCACGCAACCAGCAGTGGGACAGCTGCCCGAGGCCCCTTTATCAGGGCCTGGGGATGTCAGTTTGTCTCCTTGCCTTGCTAGCCAGCTGCAGTAACTCCAGTGCAGCCTGTTTAACAAAAGAGGCCCCAGCTTCTTTCTTGATTGAGAACTAGAATAATATTAATTTTAAAATATTCACAGTAATGCAAACAGGGACACTAAATGAATATTCTAAATAAAATAGCTGATCTTTTCACTCTATGCAACTGTTCCTTCACTGGAACTGTTCTTAAACATCCAAGTTACTGGATTACTTCATTTGTGCCTCAGAGGATGAGAAGACTTAATTATGTTTATTAATAAATAGCCATTTTGAAATTCTGGCCAAATATTGCTGGAGGAAACATTTCTGTATCAATTTAGACAAAAGAACTCAACCTGCCTTTCTCCTAAAGCACAGCAGTAATATTAATTATAGTTATTCCATATCTTTTGCTTACATAATTTTTTCCATCTTTACCTTGTATTGACTCTATTGCTGCTTTGATTCACCTTCATTTCAGGAAGCTGAAATAACTTTAGTTCTCTTCTTACTTTGCTGGCCTAGAATGTCWCTCTGGTAACTTTTAATTTCCTTTATCAGTATCTATGTTGTAGCTGTTAAATCTTACTGCTATCCTTTTCATGTGTGTTATATATCTATTGATACATATGCATGCATATTTTCATTACTCATGATTTAACCAGGACAATATTAGCACCCCCCAAAAAAAAAAAAAAAAAAAGCCCTCTTAGGCAACAACAGCTTTGTTATAAGCAGCTTGCATTTAACATTTCTTCTTCAAGCTTTTCCTTTTACTCGGGCTTATTTCAGCTTTGAGTTCAGAAAGCTTTCTGAGACACAGAGCATCAGCCAACGTGCCCAGCACTTTGCCCACTGCAATGGGGCATCCCTCAAAGGTTTCCAACTCACCAGAGGGGCCACTCTCCGCATGGGCACTCCAGCGACACGGGCAACAGCAGCACAGTCAGTTCCAGCAGCTCCTGCGTAAGGTGCTGGCTCCTCCCTGTGCTCTCCTGCAAACTGCAACACGTTCCCTGTGGGACCTGAGCAAGACACCAGGCATGTTTCAAAACAGACTGAAAACAAGTCTGAATTTCAACAGCCTGACAGGGGCAGGCTCACTCACCTGCACTTCCAGCCACTGCCTTCCTGAGGGCCAGACCCTCAACGCTCACAGCTAAGCATTTCAGCAGCCCCATGGGCTTGGGGCTGCAGCTGTGTGGGAGCAGTGAGGAAACACAGAGCTCTCAAAGGCTTTTGCTCCATGTTGCATGAAGCAACAAAGCAAGTCTCATACTCCTTCCCTGTGTAGAAAGTAGAAAGGATCTGCCTGATACCTGAGTGGGCAGTCCAGGTTTGGGTCTTCTTGGAGTACCTGCCCTGCAGGAGGCAGCTGGGACACCTTCATGGAAAAGCAGCTGCAGACAGGAGGGAAGCAGGACTGGGATCTGCAAACAGCTCAAACCAGTGGTCTGGGGGATGCACATTTGTGCAGCCTCRCTCAGGATGAATGCACCACCCCATAATCAGACAAATCCATAGTGAACTGGAAGACTCACACTAGCTCTCTTACACCAACCCATCCCTCCCAATTTTTATCTGGGATATATTTTTCCAGTTACCTAAGAAAGCTTTACTTTAAATGCATCACATATAACATAGGTAAGCTTTGTTGTTGGTATCTTTACATTGAAAGAGCAATTAAAATCCACACATGACAGGAATGGGCAATACATTCTCCAGTCAGCTCATGTCTTTCATCACACCAGCTTTTAAGAAGAGGGAAAATGCAGAAGAATGCAACTACTTCACTCCTCATCTAGAAGGCATGGAGACGTCCTCAGATGACGTCTGTCAGAGAGGTCAAGCTCAGAGATTGTTGTAGCTGTTCAACAGTGGTGGGCTCCCAAGGCTGGAACACGACCACTTTCCTCTTCTCAGTCATGAGAAACCCGTTCTCGTTAAACCTGCCTTTTATACTCCCCACATCCAGAGAAACAAAAGGTGCAACTGCAGTGGTCTGAAGATCCAATATATAAACGCTGTCTTGTTGGGATATGCTAGCCTGGAAGATATACAAAACAATACACACATACATACACACACACACACACACACACACACACGTGTATCAGTGAAAGCGTGCACATTCAGCAAGAACAAACTGAGCAAGAGCTGCATGTCTGTAAAACAGACTGCAAACAACAACATTTTTATCAAAATTATTTTCTTCTCCCAATTCTCTTATAGAAATGTCTTTAGGAACAAAAGACAAAACCCACAGGATGAATATATAAAAAATACACAAGACAGGCAAACATGGCTTAGAGCCTTCCTGTAGAACATTACAGACAAAGGAAGAATGCCATGAAGGGGCATCACTCTACTATTTTGTTACAAAAATAGCTGAATAAATGATAACACAACCTGTACCTAGTACTAGTATCTTATACTTACTGTGTTGGATGCATCTGTGCTTTTTGCAACATACTGTAATAAATTCACAGGCTAAAGTAGCTGGCCCTTCTAATTATATTAGTAATAGAAATACACAGGATAAGATGACAAGAAAAGTCACAGTAACGCAGTAAGGCCACTTCATGCTAATGGACTACAGCAGTGAAGGTTTCAAGCCACAGGTAGAAGGCAGCTATGTTGGAAACTCTCAGGGCAAGGTCTAACCTTTTAATTAAATCCTATCAGCAGCTAGTCTCTCTGAGGCTTAAAARCCCTGCTGCCCTCTCCACTCCTCATCACATTATACTCTGCTTTATTATTTCCAATACCAATGAACTATAAATAAAAAATATCAAAGAACAATAAAAAAGGCAAACAAATTATGCATTAAAGTGCAGAAAGTTTACTGAACAAATGCAAATATTTGCACATTTTTTCAAAGCAACACTATGAAAAGCAGTGCTTTGATTAATATCATATTTGAAAGTCTAGATTGTTAGTAACTCCACATAGTAGCACCAGCTTCTTGCAAAATGCAATTCATATATTTTTTTTTAATCACAGCTCCATACTTTAAGATAACTGCTTTTCAATATATCCTTCCTAGCTCTCCTTGTTAGTTAATCCTGAAGAGAGAACATGGCCGTGAGAAAAGTAACATTTCCTAACGCTGCTCCACTTAGAGAGCTTTTATTATTGGTGATGTCATCTTCAAAAAAACCCAGCATGACTCAGACTCCAGATTGTGCCACCAGCCATTTAAAAAAAAAAAAAAAAAAAAAAAAAAGGCTGCCTTCTCTCCTTTGTATATTCCAGAGGCAGGCTGTGCTGCTGGGAATGAGATAAGAGGAAAATCTGGCCTTTTCTTTTCCTCTTGTAAAGCAGTTAAGCAGGTTCAGGTTCAAAGAGATTAAAGACTCCTATTCCCCCACTGCTTAGTTTAGCCCGGAACAGCAGAGCTGCAGTTTGGATCCTAAATAGGAGAATGCACAGGTCCCTGTCCTGCTTAGCCATCATCCATTTAGGAAGAATCTCAGCCTAAAACGTACAGGCCAAAGTGTGAGGTTTAAGCATGCACACATACAACCACATACACAGACACTGCTGTCTAGATGTGGGAGAAATCTAGGGAATGCACCAACGAGGTGACAATACAACACTACACTGTCACACTCTTCTAGAACTGCTACAGCTAGAGACAAAACATCAGTGGCATTGGACACTGTGCAGCAGGCAAACAACTCAAAATGGCCAGATTAGCAAAACTCATCACTGATACTCACACTAAGCTGAGTCCTTTCCAATCCCACAGCATCCTTTAGTGACGACAGGAAGTGGTAGTTCGTGGGACTGCGGAGCCCCCCTTGTCCCACGAGGTCAAAGGTGACAACACAGCCTGTCCTGGTGCAGTTCCCGCATCTCCGCAGCAGGTCGCTTACGGGCTCCTTGTAGAKGGGGCGAGCGCTCTGGGCTTTCACGGTCACGTTGTTCTCAATGAGGGTGCACAGCGGCTCCAAGGAACTCCACGCGTGCACGCTGACCTGCCAAGAGGGTAAACAGGGCACAAAGCTATCAAATGAAAAGGTTTATCTGTGAAAACAACCCACCATCCTAGTGCTTGGCTCAGCCACKCTTTGCAAGAGATGCCCTCCTACTAGTACCAGCCAATTTCCACCTCTAATAACAAAAGACTCTGCAAAGACTGAAACAACGAATACTGAATAATAAACTGCTGTTAAATAAACCTAAAACCAAATCTGTCTGAAACAGTCTGGAGTTGTTGCTCCTCCTGACGTCAAAAGCCTTTTGCTCTTTCCATGCTCCTGGAGAAGATGGGGTTGCCAATCCCTGTGATGGGCATGCAGGAAAATGTAATTAGAAAAAACGCATTAGCCTTTTCTGACTCTTCCCTCCCCAATTAAAAATGTCAAATAAAGGATTTTCTTGAAGTTACTCAGCATTATCTGACATAACCCAACTGGGTAACCTGGAGTTTCTGCACAATCGCTATTAAACAGAAGCAAGATGCATCATTTTAAAGGGATTATGGAAATTATATTAACACAGGAAAATACAGTCTCCCACAGATCTTGCATACCTTAGGAATGCCTCTTTATGCTTAAGGGGAAAAAAGATCCTAGCTCCTTTCAAAACATTTAAGTTCCTGTTTTACATGAACTGCTAAATATTCTTTGGAATTGCCCTGTCATAGCTCCTTCAACATGAACAGAAAATCTGAAATTAAGCCCACAACTATAATTCAGACCAGAAATAAGCAATTTCATTAAGCACAGTCCTGCTCTGACAGCTGGCTATCCAGAAGCAACAACTTTTTTCCATACTGGAAGTTGTTAACTGCCCAAACCTCTTCAGAACAGAAGCCAGAGGGGATCTGTTAAGCAACACTAACCTTACAAACCTAAGGACTCCCCACAGCCTCTCAAAGACAGCCGTCAAATGGCAGCTGGGACACCCAAACACCTGGTTCTGAACTAGCCAACAAGTCATTCCACCTCTCCAGGCTTGTTTTCCCAACCCTCACAGCTTTTCCACATCCTTTACATCAAGTATTGTTTCTTGTAAATGGAAAACAGTCCGTGAATTCATTTGAGGCATGTTAGCAAATCTTAAAAAGACTGAAAAGCAAGAATGTATGACCCAGTAATCCAAACATTGCTTTCCAAGTCACACACCAAAGTAAAATTCACGATTGCTATACCTAGCATCATTTCTACAGAAAACCATTAAGCCATAAATAGCAGAATGGCAACATTGCACACATTACCTTATAATTAGAGCTCACTTAGTTGGTATTTCAYGAAGTCAGGATTTCACAAAGCCATCTTTCCCTAAAGCCGCATAGATACAGTGCCGGCAAGGGAAGGTACAATTCTGCTTTTCCCAATTTAGTCAGTTAATCTAGTTCTAATACCCAGCACACAGATAGGCTCAGTAGTGATGCATCATTTTTCAAACTTTGTTTAGTCATACCCCCCTGTAAGACCTGAGCAGAAGAACTGACCTCAGTTCTACCTGCAGGCAACGCAGGTGATGCCTGGCTCTGGGAAGCTGGGAGGCAGCACATGCTATTATAGCAGTAAGAGATGGTGCTGCCCCTAAGAGCCCTAAGGACAAGAACTCCATCTCTCTGTGTTTGGGCATGGGCACAGACCTGCTGGGTCACACCTACGTGAACAGGGGCTTATTGCAATTTCTAATATCTGCTGCTGACACCACAGGGAAAGGGACAGAGGGGTGGTCAGGAAGGTGTCACTTACCCTGAGTGTCAGCTGATGGTCCGTGTGAAGATCTGAGACCCCATAAATGAACAAGACACCTCCATCCTCATAAGCCACGGGCAACAAGGGTGCAAAGAAGTTCTGGGCAAAGTAATGGAGCAGTTTCCACTTACCACCATACTCTGAGCAGGGATAAAAAGGAGAAAAATCCAGAGTAAATCCAAGACTGTCTTGGAAAATGGTCCCTTCCTGATCTCTCAGATGCTCTTAAACCAGCACAGCATCTCCACTGCCCTCCTGAACCTCTACCAGGTGCAGGGAGCAGCTGGGGGTTGCTCTTTGCTCCCAGGAAAGGCTCTGCTCTGGAAGGAATTTATTCGTCTTTCAAGCTTTGAGCTCTACCAGAAAGTCACATTTTGTGAAAATGTTGGTGCTATCACTGATAMGATGCCATACAATTAAAGAAAGCCTTACACAGAGGTGAGGAGCAAAACTGATATAGCACACTACCTATAAATCATGCAGCTATACCGCATATGCTGTTGAAAGTCCAAGAAAATGCACTGCCACCACTGAAAAGAACCACACACTGTTAACCTGACTAATTTGCCTTCCCCTCTTCTCGGTCCTCTTCCTTCGACTCTCCCTTGGGAGAACATCTATAGCAATGAAGCCCAAATCAAGTTCTTAAATCAGGGACAGCTCTGAAGTTGGTAAAACAGATTTGCAAAGTTCTGGAGACTACACTTAGTGCATGGGACTAAAGTACATGTTTATGTAGATATATGCCAAATAACCCATTTTATCTATTTGAGGAAAAGGTGCACCTTGTTACTTTTAAGATTTTGACAGAATGCTATTTACAAACCAGAAAAGCCATGCAAACTTATCTCCTCTCCAAAGGAAGCAATTTTGCCAACTGGGATACTGCCACACCAGCCTTTTCAAAGACTTTCTCTTTCTCTCCTCCATTTCTACCCAGGATCCCCCACCACCATTTTCTCTCTGGCTTTTCTCTACCATTATCTAGTGAATGAAACAACACTAAAGGCAAACAACAAATTCATGAACATGATCTCACACGGAAACAAAACTCATACTCCCTGTTACACACTTATTTCTGGCTCTCTGCTTTGTACAACAGGTTYAAAGTTCAGCAATAGTGAAAAATACTTCCAGTAAAGTGCTTGTGCTGTAACCAATCACCTGAACTGTGTTGTGGCATTTGGACAAAGTTCTTAGGACTTATCAAATACCTCATTATCTACAGCTTCCCCCAGGGTGATGCAGGTCTCTCAGGGTATGTCTGTGGCTTTCACGGGCAGATCTGAACATGCTCTCAACACTCCACGCACCCGAGTGAGCTGGGTGCTGGGAGCAGAGGGCACCGGTGCCAGGCAGCACCCAACACAGCTCCTCTCTTCCAGCAAGCTCACAAAAGGCTAGCTTAGGGAACAGGCAAGCAAAGCTCCTGTCTGCCTGCAGATGTTTGGACAAGCTTCAGCTGGGCCATGTGGTGTCAAYACCTCTGCCCAAAGACAACCCAGGCATTTGGGTTAATTGCACCATAGCAAAGTGAAGAGATGAAACCTGAAAGAATCATTCAGGGGAGCTTGCTGAGTTTCTTCCAAGATACAGCTTATTTGCACACTGAGGAGTGTAGCTGGTACCACACAGCATGAGCAGAGCCAGGCTCCTGCATCCCAGGGACAACCGCTGGCAGCAAGCGTTGGTGGTCTGAAGGACAACAGCTCCAATGCCAGGAAGTGCTAACAAATTGCTTGTCAGGGCCTTGAAATTTGAAAAGATCAAGAGATTTGTTTGGGCACGGCTTACTGAAGCAGAGCAAGTTACAGGGCAGCACCTGATCTGGAAAATAAAAGGGCCTCATCTGAGAAACAACACTGTGCCTAACCTCGGGCCCAGGGAGGGGTTGAGCTTTCCGGAGACCTCCGTGTTGCCACAAGCCTCTCAGGAATTTCGTCTGCCAGAGCTGGAGAGGTTCTTCCCTGCGGGCTCAGGCTAGACACCCAGCTCAGCCTGAGGTTTCAAAGTCTGATGACAACAATTTTTACCTCAGTCTTAATTTACATGATAAAAACCTAGCCTTAAATATGAAAACAAATAATACAAACACAGTAGAGCAGTTTCTGTTAGTTTAATATAAAGTGCCATTTTTCTGCTAATGGGCCCTATCCTCAATCTTCATTAGACCTTGATTTCAGAACAGATTATGTAGCCGCATTATAGTCATTACTGGACTGAAAGACAGAAGTTGGTCTATCTTGGCAACAAAGAGAGAGCTCCCTGAAAGCCTGTAAGATGGGGAAAATAGTTCAGAATATGGGAATAAATTTGACAGCATACTTCTCCAGGGGAAGAAAACCCAAACAAAAGAAAACAAACCACACACTTAGAAGTTTTTGCCATTTCAAAATCCCTTTGTAGTGTTAAACTTCTTCAGCTATTGTCTGGGGAAGTTTGCAAAAAAACAGTAGCTGTCTTAAAAAGAATCAAGTTTTTCTTAAATAGGTTGCTATTTTCCCTCTCCAAAACCTACAGCCATTCTGAAGAACACATTTTCCAGCTCAACTGYTGCCTTGATTTCCTTGAAACCAGAGCCACATTTCCTGACCTAAAAAATAAGCAAGCTATATATGAAACACTTTCCTCCTGCCACTTCTCATACAGTGAGAAAGCAGGAGATGCAATAGCTATCGTGAGAAAATTCYGAGTTTAAACTTACCTGTTTCAGGCATGCATGTCCCCAGGCAGCAGTCAAAAGTTATTTAAAACAACTCTGGGATGGTTTCTTCCTCCTCTCCCTCCCTCTGCCAACATTTAAATGAATTCTCCAAGAAAGTCAAAGTTTCCCAAATCCTTCCTGATAACAACATGCAAGTGGTGCCTGCGCTCACTGTAACACCAGACTTTAGAAGAGCAAACTCAAACTGGGTTTGTCAGGAGACACCAGGACCCTGGCTGCCGCCYGCTCCCTGAAGCCTCCTACAGCAGGAGCTGGAACAAGAGCAAACTGCTCTGCTGGCAGGGACGGATCCTGAGTTAACCTCTTCACACCACCAAGCGCAACCAGAGAAACACTGCCAGAGCTGCTAGTTCTTTCCGTGCGTCAGCCTCATGAATGCAAATCTATTATTCTCCCTAATAGCCTGTGGTTTCAGCTCACTATGGGGCTCTAAAAATTGAACCTGCAATAAAAGCCACTTAGCTGCTCACAGGAACCTCATGAGAACCACGCGGTGACACCTCAAGGTGACACTTCCCTGGGAGGGCGGTAAGTTGCCAAGCAGAGTATAGAGCTTGGCAGCAACACACGCTGCGTGGGCGCTGAAGCCGTTGACACGACACAGGCAGATCCGCAGCCAGGCACTGACAAGCAAAACACAGGTGTGGTAAAACCTGCTTAGTTCTGAACTGAGGGTGAAAACAGGAGTGCTGTGCTGTGTTTCCATTCAATTCCAAGAAAGCATTTTAAAGGTAAGTTAAAATAAGATATACCTGGTACCTTCTCCCTCCTCATGTCACGAAGAAGCCCTTCCGCTTCATGTGGGAAATTATGTGAACCCCTCCATGGTTCCATTTATGAAACAAGAGATTTAAGTAAGAGAAGGGTTCATCAGCAATGCTACTATGCCATCTAACACGATGCAGAAACACCTTTTTGAAGTGCAAATAAAAATAATTTATCTGAAGTTTTGCATAAATTTGAGCTATTAGCATTTCAAAAAATCCATCTACCATRCTGCCTAATTAAATGAATATTAAACCTTTCCTCACTACACTGAGGGAATAAAATGAAACAAAGGGACAGCTGTATCTCTGCTGAGCATCCTTTCAGTAAACTAACTTCAGCAACTTATGAATATTTCAAGTAGCTGATGYATTTCCTACAGTGACATCAGCTCTTTACTTAAAAAGACATTTATAGTCTTCACAATTTCTTCATCTATCAGTACACTTTGCTTCACAAAGGGTTATTTTTCCAATGATCATTTTCTTTAGAGGGACTTAAAGCCTAAAGAGCATCAGTCATCACTGGAACCATAAAAATAAACATTGAGATATTGCTTTTCCTAATACAACTCCAAAAAGTCCAGAAGTACAAGCACCAGAGCTGGATCACTGTCTTAAGGCTAAAATAAAACAGCCTTTAGTTTCTAGTGGTTTGTTGTGCCTTATTGGTGGGGTTTTCTATGCTTGGATGAATTTAAGAGAGAGAGAGATGGACGAAGATCATAGCAAAAAAAGGAAAAGACGGGAAGGCTAAGTCTCTCAGACAGAGCCAAGCAGCATTTTGTCCCAGGGATAGATCCAGAACTTCAAACTATTAGCTTTTTCTAGTTCCTTCGTATTTCTTGATATGATAGAACCTTAAATACATACTATATTTTAGAAAACAGAATATGTAAAAATAACTAGCATTCAAATAAACGAGAAACTATTCAAGTTCTGAATGGCTACCACAGAACAGCTTCTCCATTTCCAAATGGCTTCCAGGCAAGTTGCTGGAGACACAAAGCACAGCCACTTCCCTCGTACCACACATTCCTTCCCCATTTTTAATTCCCTAAGCAAATTTTATCTCTATTTGCCTGACGGCTCCATTTTGGTGTTCTAAAATGAATAGGCACAAATGGAGCTATTGTGTGCAGCTTAGCTAGCTCGTGTATTAGCAGCATCACTTAGTCACAAATAATGATTCACCTCACCTGACACTGGCTGTTTAATAAGTTAGGCAAAAAGCTAAGCACTCTTCATCTTGTCTTTCTCTGTAAGGAACTTCCCAAGAGAAAGAACTCTGTGCTGGGTGAGAGGTGTCATATGAAGTTTTATGAAAATTTAATTTGGCATAGGGAAGATAACTCATCCTACTTGTTAGACAGCTGTGAACATGAGGATTCATACTCTGGAAATTACCATTTCTCCATACTGATCCCAAATACACTGGATAGCTCACCTTTAAATATTATGATCCTGCTCAGAACAGCATTGGAGTGCCACAGGATTTTGCCAACACACTACTGCTAATTACAAGTAAAAGTAAAAGCGTTTATCATTTTACCTTGGGAGGGAGGTCTGGAAATTAAAGTTGTTGGGATTATGGAAAGTGTAACTAAACATATAAACTCTCCTCTAGTTCTCTTACTATTTTCATCCAGGGTGACATGGCACACATATACATTTGCTCAGCACAACCAATAAATACAATCAGGCATTTCTAGGACAGGCTCTTTTGGAAACAGAATAATTCTTAGAAATGTCTATTTTAGAACTCTTTCAAAAAATACAAAACCTCTCTGGAAAATCCTGGCTAACATATCACACAGTTTCAGGGAGATCAAGTTCTACATAACAAAGACATGGCAGCTCAAAGCTCAAACCACACTGAGAATCTATCTTTAACAACCTTGAAGACAGATAAAGCTACTTTCTGTGAAGCAGTGACAGTTATTTCCTTGGGGAAAATGAGAATATCACTGAAACAAAAAATATATATACACTTTAAAGAAATTATGAGTTATAAGCAATTTTAAATATAGATAGAAACATGTGCAAAGCTACAGGTTTATCTCAAGAGAACACAGAGTCTTATTTCTTACTATGGTATTTCCAGTGAAGGAAAACCAAAACAAGCCTGATACACATTGTGTCCTACCACACAACTGTTGCAAAACTCACCCAAAGAGGCCCATGAAGGTGCCTGCCAGATATCGTTGAGCTGCCAATACAGTGCACCCATTGTGTGTCCTTCTCCCTTGATTATTTCACTTCGGCTGAAGCGATAGAATTCAGTTTCTGCCTTTACACATTGTGCCTGCATCACCTGGGTGAACAAAACATTAAAAAAATTAGTCATGTACTTTCAAATCACACGTATATATCCGCAGAAAACACAAGTTCACATAACCAGTACTTTCACCGGCCAAGTTCTCAAGAAGTCAAGGAAGCAGTGTCCAAGATGAAAAGGGCAATAAAGAAAGTTAGCATCTCCAAAAGCATACTAGTAGACTCACTCCAAAATGAGGCGAAAAGCTATTCTAAGTCAGTGGAAAGTGTAAAAGATAACTTTTAGTTATCTACTAGATCCAGAGGTACTCTCCTTATCTTTTCTGCTATCCCTATTTTAGGATCTTTAAACTGTTCTTTGATCTCTCACTAAGGTCTTGACAGACTTTGCCTTGCAAAAACCCTCACAGCTTTTTGGGCCAGGACCTCACAGCACAACTTTTACCCCTGCCTTTACTAAAGCACAAAGCAAGTCAGTGTTCAGATAAAGAGCAAGGTATAATCTACTGATTAAAAAAACCCAGAGCATCTTCTCTAACACAGCACTGTTTCAGTCCTTAATAGAAAAGGAACCTTCTAATAAACTCCTTCAGAGAGAATTTCATTCTCCAGAAAAAGTTTTCTTTTTAAAAGTTGCTGTATTCCTTGTGGCAAAAACAGAGCAATAAGCCCAGAAAGGTCACAATGAGAGTGAAACATACCCAGGCTAGAGGAATGACATGGAGAAGCTCTAGGAAATGCTGTGCACCAAGGATGTCCATCCCATGCCCGCATCCTGTACCAGCTCCGTGAGTGAGTACAGCTGGTGACAGGTCCTTGGGCAGCACACGCAGTCAGCCAGATACGCTCCCAGTTTGGCCTGTTTCTGGGAGATGCTGGCATGAAGCTTTCCCTGAGAAGTTTTCCAGCCTTTCTGTGAGGAAAGTTGGAGTTTACCCCCAAAAATGGAGAGGACCGCAAGCTGGTCCCATCTTCAATTAGGTTCTCCAGTTCCCCAAGGCAGAAACAGTTTCCATATGATTATGTTACTTAATGGAACAGACAAGACTCTCTTTTAACAGCTGGGCAGTATCTACAGGAACAAGTATTGAAAGCCACTTCAGTACTGAAGACCTTGCTGTTACCTGAGTGAGATAAATCATATCTTTGAACTTTTTAACAGGATCTGTGCTCTGGGGAAGCTTGAAATGATGCTCAATCTGTTGAATCATTTCATCATTGCCGTTTTTATGGTGCTGTCGATGGAGAGAAAAATTGCTTGTGTAGGACCAATCCTCTGCAGAAGAAACCTTTTGAAAACATGAAAGAAAGATCAGAAAGTAAAAACAAAATGTACCATTAGGTGAATGGCAGAATATTCAAAGATATTCATTGATGGTCTGCTACCATCATCTAAAAATATTAAAATCAGGAATATATTCCTATAGACATTAACCATACATATTAAACAACTCAGAAAAATAAGAGCCAGCACTCTTTCCAGGATATGATATTTCAAAGGCTAGTAAGAGCTAAAGATTCTAGTAACAGACTCTGAGAATAACTACCTAGCATAGCTCACATAGCCATCACTGCTAAGCTTTCATTGTAATTACAATCTCTATAAAAACCTTTTTATTCGAATTTGCTCCTCTTCTGGCTGGGTTAATTGAATCATTTTCATTGTTAATATGTCTGAAAGTACAGATTATGTCTTAGGAAAAGATAATAAACTTTGTGTAGCAAATTGTAAGGATTATGGCATGCATGAATCTCAACATGATGGTCATCTCTGACTGGACAAACAGCACAGCTCTGCTCCAACTAGATAGATAAACACCAAAGAGCATAGAGCATAAAATACCAAGATTTGGTGAGCAAAAAAAATCCTCTTAAGCAACTGGTAAAAAAATAAAAATCAAGGTGCTTGAGAATACAGCACAACCTGGCCTGAGTTAGGTTTCTTTCACTTCTAACAGCACACATGCCCTTAAGACACAGACCATGAAAACAGATCTTGGTAACAACAGGAAATTGTTACCAACCTATATATTAAACAGAGTTATTATTAAGAGTTACTGAATATACAGAGTTACTTGTCTCATAATACAGCCTCGTTTACCTAGCACATCCACCTGCTTTTTACTGTTGTGAGCCACAACATGGCGTATTTTTTTAGTATGCATACAAAAGAAGAGATACACATGTGTAAAAGGGATAMATTTGGAAATATGTCAGTAGGCAAAGTTGAACACTAGCAGCTTCAATGTTTCCATCAATACAAGTTTCTTGAACCAGGAATCTCAAAAGAAAATGATGTTTACTGGTTAAGAGGGGAGAAGCAATTTTAAAACACAGGTAATCAAAATGAAGTTCCAACACTGTTCTCCAGTGTTCCAACAATGATAACTTTAATAAAAGCATGACTGATTGTATTAAAATTGATTCCTCTTGCAAAATCAAGGTAAATACACTGAATAATGAGGAAAATAGATCACTTCACTCTCCTCCCTACATACCAAAACACACTCCTACCTCTCCCTCCTCCTACCAAACCTAATAAGGTATCACCCCAATTACAGCTGTGATGATGTAGTTTACTGGGACATGATTCGCTGCCTTCCCAAAACGAGGACAAAAAGAGACAGCAAGGTTTGGACGTCCAGCTTTACCTTTTCCAGGGTACTGAAAGAAGGCCAGGATTGAAATCCATATTCTGAAGCAAAACGAGTTTTAGGATAATGCGTCCAGTCCCAGCAGTCACTCTCATAGTCATAGAAGTGAGTGTCACCGTAGTGGGTATCATAAGGATTTTGGGAGATCCAACCTTCTTTAGCTGATTCCAAACCATTTGTGGGACTGGATACAATAAAAGGACGGCTCTTATCTTCCTAGAATTAAAATAATAATAATAATAATAATAATAATAATAAAAATCACAGCTCCTCAAGGAGATTCATTTTTTATCATTTGATACCTAGACTACATTTTGAAAAAGGGTGGAGGGAGGAGGGAAGGGGAAGAACATGCCTTGGCAAATTTCTGAGGTACCACCTGAAAAACATTCTCTTTGTACCCGAACATTCATTATCATCACCTGCTTAATTGGGTTCTTATTCCTGTACTTGGAGGATAGCTGGTCATAATATCACTTGCTCTGCTGTTCTAAGGAATTCTCTCCTCACATCAAGAGATTTTCCATTTTCTATGGTTCTAAATTCTTAATGAATGCTATTTGAAGCATATCTCGTGAAAAATAAACTCAAGAATCATTAATATTTGAGTACTGTGGCTTCTCTTCTCTATGGAAAATTATGACTTCTGCAGTATTTCTGCAGTGACRAAGCCATGATTTTTCCCTTTTCTTTTCAGGCAGTCATGTGAATTTAGCTCTAATGAGGCCAAGGTGTCCTGCTACTAATGCCTGTGTGATAGCGTTGCACGCTGCCATTTTGGCTGGTTTTGCACGTTAAGCTAGATGAGACTATATGAAGGGTTACATTTCAAATCATTCAGAGCACCTGTATTTATAGCCTCCTTAGTACACAAAATCTTTTATCAGAACCCTGCAAAGCACTGAAGGAATCTCTCTCAGGTATAAATCATTCAGTGCCCTACTTGTAAGATGGAGACCTCGCCGTCACAGGCACAAGTTATTGGCTCCAATACAGCAAAGCACTTAAGTGTTTTTTGTAATCTATTTTTTCAAACACGAGTAGTTAACTATTGAAATAATTTACTACAGGATATTCTGGATTCCCTTAAGAATTAGATCAGACTTGGAGGTTTCTTTAAGTGCTATAGTCCAGATCTTCCAGTAGTTACAGGTTTCCTCTGCTAGCCCATGGTACACAGAACTTTAGACATTGTCACTGCATGGTTCCTTCCAGCCCTCAAAAACAGTTAATTCCTGTGTTTAAAATAAAGAATGGTCTCTTCTGAACAGCAACACTGCACAAGTAAATAATAACTAAAAACAACATCCAGCCAGAACATCTCCCTTCGCTGAACATGCACTGGCAAGGAAACCCACACATGATGACAGAAATAGCACAGTGTACCTTTACAAATAATTTTGTTGGAAAAAGCTGACTGAAATACATATTAAGATAATAGAAATATATATTTTACTTTACTATCTTGATTCTATAACTGAAATATTTAGAATACATTTTTAGATTATATAGTTTGAAATAGTGGCCTTCTATACTAAACATTGCTATTTTAAGTTTAAAGCAAATCCAAGGGACCAAAGACAGCCCCACTTGATTGACAAACACGTACCATAATCATTTAAAAAAAGCCCAAAACATTATCAATATGAAGAACAGGAACTTAAAAACACAGCCCTTTAAGCCTGCTATACTCAAGAGCTGGATCCTTTTTTGCCATACATGGTGCCTTGTTTTTATTGCTTACCCAACCTTTACTTTTCCCCAAAGAAATGGGATTACAGATTCCTTAGGATATAGCTACTCTGAAAAAGCCAGTAATCTGCTGTAACAAGCAGTAACTGTCCATTACCTACATACTGATTGCCTGGCTTATTGCAGGGAAAGTTCTGGTCTTTAAGCCCCAGGTTTTATGCCCCAGGACATAAAACGTATCTCATCCTGAAAAGGACAGAAATTGGACAAGTATTTGCATATTCTACAGGCAATCATGACAGGTTGCACAACAGACACTAAATGGAAATAAGGCCACTACTGTTTTTAGGTTAACAAAAATGCATATTTTCTTGCTAAAGAGGTAAGTTCTAATTGGTCAAGATACGAGTTTTACATTTCCTTATTTCACACAGCTCTCAGCTAAAAGGGATGCTTGAATACTCACCTGTAGTTCAAGCTTTAGGTTCGTTATTTCCTATCTAGCTACACAATGTCAAATTAAGATTTTGTTAAATTCAGTTTTATTCTACCTATACAAATAAAAGTTATAAGTAAATTCCATGAAATAAATGAAGGAACTGCAATACTTCCAGGAAGAGAAGTAAAACTACAAAAACCACACAAGCAGTAGTGCCAAATCATAGTGGACTTCATGAATTTCACATGCTTCTGTTTGCATGTCCATAGCTTAAGTCTTGTCTCAAATACTTTATTGTAGAAGTGGAAGAAAATACCACTGAGATGTTGACTTTATGAAATTCTTCAGTTGCTATTAAACAGTTAGATCATTAAACAGCTAATTAACAGTTATTATACAGTTAGATTGTTTAGATATCCTTCAACATAACCACCATTAAGAAAATTAACCATCTAAGTAAATGAATTCATGTGTAAAAAGGTTTTTTGTTCAGTGCAAACAAAGCCATTTGTGAATKGAAAAAAACAGGAGAAAGAAGAAAAATCAAAATTTACTAAGTTTTCAGGTCTTCCTTATATGCTAGAGAACAATAGAGACATCAAAGTTATTTTTTGAGGTTTATTCTGCTTTGTGGAATACTCTTTGGTTTAAAAAAATTCTTTAAATGAGCTTGGCAAGTGCAATTCCTCAAAAATATGCTGAATTTCTTTTCCCAAAAGGATAAAAAGAATACCTCCACACACAATTTGTTYCAATTGCTCCAGCAAACATTCATACCTTCTGCCACACCATATCCCATCTTAGTTTCTTGAGATCACTTACAGAAAGAACAATTTCCTGGATGTTCTTCACATAAAGCATCACATAATCTCTGATATAGACTTCTCTGTCAGCATGAGGTATGGAAAACCAATTGCCAGCAATTGCCGCTTCGTTTTCATTGTTGCCGCTCCACAAAATAATTGATGGATGGGATTTCAAACGCCTTACCTGAAATACACATCATAGTTTTAGAAGTGAGCCAAAACTACTTTTTCTAAAGCAAACATTTGTATTAATATTTTAATTACAAGTCCGAAGGTACGTGTAATTCATGTGTTTTWTATTCATGCTGTTCCCTACACTCCTGAGAAAAGGTAGTTTGGACACGAGAAAGGCCCAGACCTGTGCTTGGCTGGCAACACCTGTGAGCAAGTTAAAGAGAATTTAGCAAGGTATGTTTTTGTGCCTGCTTCCTAAATGTACACTAACAAATACCTTCTAACAAACATTTTTGCAAACCTAAATCTTACAGTTAATCAAAACTAGCTATTGGGAAACAGATCTTCAACACATACAGACAAATACCTGATGAGTAACTTCTGCTCTCACCGATTCCAAGTAATTCTGATCAGTTGGATACAGCGCACATGCAAACATAAAGTCCTGCCAAATCTAGAGAGCACAGAAAACAAAGATCTGTTAACAAATCATCTTTCCTGCTTCAACAATATACAACTTTCAGGACGCACATTTCTTTTTTCAGGTAGAAGTTATTTGTGTCAAAAAAAAAAAAAACGCACCAAAATATTTAATTTGGTATACTTGAAAAATATCACTAAAAAAAAAAAGATCAGATTCTCCATAAGCTTAATCATGTACAGACTCCACAGTGATTTTCCTAAGTATTAGAGTTAAAAACTATTTATCCTGGAGAACGAGACCTTGCTAGGCTTCAGCAGTCAGAGCAACATTTATTAGAAGGATGCATTTCAGTAGGTTGCAACAAAACAGTTAGAATCCACRCCCTGCTCAGAAATTAATATAGGAAAAGAACTCCTCTACCTGAAATGGACGGTTTTGTGTTTACTGCTTAGTTTACATGTTTAACAAGCCTCAAGTATTTGATAAAAGGAATAATGCTTCTGATTCAATATTGAACACACTTAACAGATCCAAGTGTACTTCCTAGCAAAATATTTCCATAGTAGATTTTTGTAAATTGATGTTTAAAAGAATCGATCTTACCCAGTTAGAGGGAGACAAACAAGTTCGTTCCTCTAACAGCATGGTGATCATTCTCATCAAGAAAGATCAAATAGTTACAGAAAAAAAGCCCTTGGATTCAGCATTACTCTCTTTAATTTGTATTTTCAAGCAATAAAAAAAAAATAAAAAATGAAGCAGCCTAATGAAATAGATTTGACTGTTTTACAGGCTCCATTTTTTTAATTTACAGTTTAGAGTGTGTCTACCTTACAAATATTAATGGAAAGATCTCCGAGGAGCACATGAARCTAAAGGGGAGAGTCCTCCTCAGCAGACTGCATTTCTCTGAACATTACACCACAAAAATAAGGGAGACAGCCAGCCCAGATCCTCATGTAATTGTGTCCTTGTACTAAGAAAGTGCTTTTCCATGACTCTTTCAGAGTACCATCCACTAAGAAAACTGCAGGTAGGGAATAGGTCAGTGGGAGAGAATTGATCTTTTAATAACTGTAAAGGACTAACAGAAAAAAAGGCAGTGCTATCACTAAAGAACTATTCAGAATCCTTCAGGCTCTGTGTCCAGGCAAAACTCTCTGTATGACAAGAAATGCTTTTTCCACTTCCCYGCAGTGAATCATCAACCTTTTCCCTTAAACACAGTTTGACTCGGAAGTGTTTTTATGCCTTTGCAAGGCCATCAGAGGAAACATAACCAAAAGCTTCTATTCTGGAGGGTAGGCACCACAGATGTTAAAGGTCCACTTTTCAGCATCTTCTTGCTATTTTGGCTCCTAAATAAGGTCTGCACAAGCACTGATGTGAGTGACCTACTTAGCCACCAAGTATCAAAACCAAAAGAAGTACAAGTACCCAGAAGCCCCAAAAATCAGGGCACTCATTCCAATGAGTAAAATAAAAAGGATATATCATCTATTTTCTACCCACCAAGCACAGACAGCAGAAGGACAGCAATTTTCTGATTCCCTAGTTAAAATGACAACATATTGGTTTCCTGTTTTTATGCTTTATAGTAACATCAAACACACTTGGAATTTTAACAGCAGATGCAACATAGTCTTCACTCATCATTTCTTCAACCAAACTTATTAATACTTGCTTCCAAGCTCATATACTCTAAAGTACTCATCTAGGATCATCAGTATTTGCAGTAGGTATTCCCCTTACAGCTACGTTTATACTAAATTACAGTTTGTTCATAATATMCCTTTGGGTGAGGCCTTCCACGTTTAGCCTCAGGCCAAACTAAATAAAAAAAGCTATTGTGGTAAAACTGGGAAAACATAGAACTGGAGGAGAGGTACAGTATATAAAGTTAAGAGTTTTAGTCTGACAAGGAATAGGATACATTGACTTAAGTGCACAAGTCTGTAACTCTGATCTGGGAAAGAGTAAGAGATACAGAAGACAGCTAGGAAGAAAGCCAGGGGATGAAAAAGAGATTCTGGTTTGGGAAGGGTGGTGATAAGAAGCAAGGAGCACACAGTTGCAGCCTTAGCTATAAGAGTAAAATACATGCTGGGAATCTAATATAAAGACTCYGAAAACATGACAGCTGCTTTCAACAGACTCAAAAATTAGCAACTGCTCAAAATCCAACCAAACAAAATCAGAAAAGAAAAATATCCACACACACATAAAAAAAAGTTTGATCTGACTTTTCAGGTTTCTACTCTATCAGATCTCCTTTGGAAAACTGAGTCAGAAGTTATATATTTATTCTCCAACTTGGTTCATCTAGAAAAATTGTAWWTACAATTTCRTGACTTTTTTTAAATACATGATCTCTTGTTTGTTTTTACCATTATTCCAAGTTCATCACAAATATCATAAAATTCATCTTGTTCATAAACTCCTCCTCCCCAGACCCGCAGGACATTCATGTTAGCATCTGCTGCAGACTTCAAGAGTAGCCGATATCTGTCAGATCAAAAAAGAACAARAAAGTTGATCATTATCAGAATTCAAAACTTAACTACAACAGAAACTGTCCTTTTTGATGCTTTCTAAACCTATACACATCCATATGAAGGTCTCAAAAGCAAATTCTGCCCAGAAGTTGTTCCTTGGTTCCTGTTACCACTTACAAAACAGATAGGGTGGCACATGCAAGTGTTTTTACAGAAATATTTGCAGAACCAGATTTAGAAATATTGTATTTTATTAATTACAGAGCTCTTCTCTCCTTAGCTACTACTTGCTTTAAATATCRATCACAAGCTCAATTTTTCTCACAGTTTCTCAAAGTTTCATAAGTTCATTAAGTTTCATAATGCATAGTGAGAAAGGGGGAAGAGGAGAAAGATCCCAACACTCTGATTCCCACCTAAAGGGATTCAGGCCCAATTTTTTGGGCCCGAGGCTGGAGCAAGATGACAAGAGGAAAAGAGGCTAGGACGCACTTGCATCTCCCTGTGCTACATGGATTGGGCCATTGCTGAAATGCCCTTCCAGGTCCCTAGTTTTCAAGTACCAATAAGGACATCCCAGGCACTAAGATGAGACATCCTGAGGAGCATCTCTAAAACACCTCAAAATGCCAGCAGCCCTGCAGATAAACACTTAAATGACGCCTTGAAYATCACTCAATTCTATTAATATTATTTAAGCCTCAACTCTGGTCTCCCTGGACTACAACAAYTAGTGTCTGACTTTGAATGAAGTCCCCCGCCTTCAATCCTCTCCTTCAGTAGAGAATCAGGAGCAGATAAAATGATCCTTTCTCCTTATAAGACATCAAAGGCGGCTTACATGTCAGAGGTTACTCTGTCCTGGAATGAATCTGCTGGTATCCAGTTTGAGCCCTTCATGAAAATGGGTCGGCCATTGATTCTGAAGTAGAAACTGAGACCCGGTGACCCAGAAATAGGCTCCTGAATAAGTTCTATTGTCCGAAAATAAGCCTGTAGGGGGATGGGAGGGGGTGAAAAAAGACACTTGAGTTTAAAGCAAATAAAAGAAGAAAGTATCAGAAAAACGATGAAAATAATTTACCTTAACACTAACAACTCAGAATTATATATGTCAAGAAAACAAGACATAGTTTCATCTCTAAATGCCTGCTTGATCAAAATAGACTTTAACAAGGCTAAAAAATAGTCCTGTGGATAAACCTATCCACTTTTGAAACTACAGAAACTTTAAGGTTATCCTGCATTCAGTGAAAGCAATATGTGCTTCTCTTAAAAAAAATATTACCTTTCAGGTCAAATCAAGKGAAAGAAATACACACACAAATGAAAAAAGATGGAGAGGAAGTGAAGCCCCCTGGTCATCACAGCTGTATTTGAGCAGCATACTCAGGAGTAAAGCTTCACAGAGACCAGTTCAGCTAAATAACCACCGACTTGGTTTAAGGTGTTTAAGGTCATTCCAGATAAAGGTACAGTCACAAGAAAGTAATTAGTTGACTGCAATAATACTGTGTTGAACCCTTATCTGTAGGGGTGTCTTCTCCACTTGTCCCAGGGCAGATAGAAAACAGCTGCCATTTCAGGCATCTGCACAGCTACCAGATATTATGCAATGTGTCTCTTCCAAGGAGATCCTGTGGGTGGTTTTTTTTTTTTTTTTTGGTCTTTTTCCCCCTGTTCCTTGTTCCACCTCATCTTACCTGGATTAGAAAAAAAAACTCTTTTTCCTTGTGGTACCCATTTGCTCCTTACCACTGAGAAATTAAAGAAAGAGAAGGAATGCAAATGAGGAATTTCAGCCAACACGCTCCAAACAACAAATCTGGATCCAGAGTACAGGAACCAATCTCCCCCCCCCCCTTTTTTTTTTTTTTTAATTTAGACTACCTTTATTACCTTTAAACTAGCAACTCCTTCTCCTTCAAATTATTATTTCAAAAGGTCTTAAGTACCTTGTACCTTGGCTCTCTATCAGAAGCTACAGTTGGAACAAGTAAACCACCTATTCCTATAATTCATGTTTTGCATGTTCATTTTAACACAAACATTTGAATAAAACGTCCAGTATTCCATTAAAGTTTTCACAATTCCCCTAAACACTGAAGGTTATGAAATAAAAGCTACATGTAAGTTAAAAACCACATACAAGTACTTGGCTATACTAGCTAAAACATACTGACCTCTTTCCAGTAAATTCAATTATYTGGAACAAACTCAAGCTCTAGCATGACTTTTTTGTACCCCAAAAAATAAAAGGAGTGGTATTTATAGCAAGGGTTCCTAAAGTATTTGGGAGGCTGTCCTAATGACAGGTTGGGTCTGCCTCAAAGTGCACTTGCAATGAGCACTCCCATTACAGAAGTGATTCAATATCAATTCATTCACGCTAAAGCCAAACTCCTGCAATTGCCAAATCCGAGAGACCGAGACACCCAGACAGAACCACCCRTAGAGCACAAGCGAGGGGAACAGTTTCTCAGACACATTTCACTTCCCCGGGCCTCTAGGGCTCAGTGTGCTTGTGCTCCCCCAGGCTGGGGTCTGGCACACATGGCGATGCATCCCTCTGACTACAACAAGTTTGGTCACTTTGAAACCTAGCAGGATGACGGACCGATCTTGCTCCTCCTATCCCTGAACATTTCTCCTAGTCTTGGAGTACACACAGGARACCTTGTAGCCACCACAGCCTCAGCACACAGCTGGTTCTGTACACAGTCACACGGGTCACATGCGAAGGCTTTGTAGCCAGCAAGTAGCCCCTTAATCACATCTGGGATTTCCAGATCTTACAGGTAAGAAAAAAAACTACAGAGTAAAGATGCCCAGAACTAAAACAAGATCACAGAACACCCTGCTGATTTAGTAAATTAGCACACAGCATGAAAGCAGCATAACAACTAAGAAGCCAAAAAGAAAGACTTCTGGAAGTCATGCTAAAAGGCCTAGGGAAAAAGAGAATGTAGAGGAAAGGAAGGGAACCCAGCTGTAGGCTGCAGTCTTCCAAGTACTAAAATAGTATCATGAAATTAAAAAAGAACTTTGATTACAATGAGGAAGAAATAAACATAATGGGGAAATGGAGTTCAGATCCAAACAAATCTCTTAAGCAGTAATGAAAGAGGCAATAAAATCCCTGATGTAGGGATAGCAACTTGTTAGTAACAGAGTTGGATACACCCTCACCCAAGAAAAACAGTTTCATTCTACAAAAACTTCTGGCTATGACTTTGTTTCATGCTATCCTGAGAACAAACTTCAAACCAAACAATGCAGATGGGGAAAAAAAGCAAAAATGCTTGTCCAGGATGCTGGCCATAAATGTTTTGGGTTTTTTTTTTCCTGCCACTCTTTCCAAAAGAGCAGGTACTTCTCTCAGTCAGCAGTTCCCAGCATAGCTGGCCAAAGTCCCAGAGAGCTCAACATAACYGCAAACTAGGTTTCCCAGAGGCTTTCCCTAAGGATTAGTTAGCATCTTGGAGACACAGCAGAAACAAAGCAGTCCAAGACAAGGGCAGTGAAATCCGATACGAGACTTGAAGGGTTCTTGCAGGGAAAGGGGCAGGGCACATCTGAGTRTCTTGTGCAGAACATGAGGTCTCTGTGACTGAAAGTCCCAGYGCTCTATGAAATGGCCAGATGCAACTGCCCAGGTGCAATGAATTAAATCTCTTGGCACTGTATAAGTTTCATATAATAACCAAATTTTCCTTTTTTCCTACTCTAACTGGAAATTTTCTACAGCCTGTTTTTCCAAATGCAATATGCTATGTCTTTGTTGTTGTTTTGAAATCTTATCACTAAGAAAACAAGGCATTATTATTGGAACTTTAAAAAAAGAAACCAAACAGAAGACCTAACCTTAAAAAGACTAGGACTTCCAAAGTCCATGCTTTATCTATGATTTTTTTCAGTACAATAAATGTTACAAAGAATAGCAGTTTCAGAAGCCTGGTGACCAGATTAGCTTTTAGTGAAGCAATACACATCAGAGACACCTAATAAATGCAGACATTTACTTGGCTGTTTCCATGTGCTGATGGTATGAGAGGCCCAGTCTAATTTCAATGATTTTTTTTTTTTCCAGTGGATGATTGAAGATCACCTCTTCTGGGCTTCTTTGTAAACTCTACACAGTGTTATACAGACAGTGTGTTCCAGGAATCCTTACACAAACATTCCTAAATACTATTTTGGTGGTCATACTTAAGATGTTTCCCTCTAAAATATTAAGCACATCTACCATACTCTAATAAATGAAGCTATACTAGCTTCTTAATAATTAAGAAATATACCCTATCCCACATTTTTTTWAAAACACTGAATTACACAGATTCACAGATTCACAGAATATTTAAGGTTGGAAGGGACCTCTACAGATCATCTAGTCCAACCTTCCTGCTCAAGCAGGCACACCTACAGCATGTGGCACAGGGTAATTAACAGGAAAAATMTCAGTAATAAACAAACCTCCTTCTCCATATTCATTATATAAAWCTTAAATACTTTTCAGGACATGACACAAAGCCATCAGAATCACATTTCAAGTCAAAGAGTGCTTTTCTTCCTTAAAGCCAAAAATTTAAGAACAAACAAACATCTTTTTGGAGGTTTTCAAATAATTGCAAGCCATCCTCCAGTCTGCATGCATGTGAAAGTACTTAAAAAGGTTAAGGATGTCAGAAAACTGTTTAATATATACACTGTGACATTCGAAAGCTCTTATATCTCATATACTCACATGCAAATTAAAAAGCATGAAAATGCCCAAGAGTACTAGATATCTGCCATGCAGAGCATTGTCCTAACATTAGTACACTGCCAGCTGTAATCAAGCTGAAGGGCTCACCTTGGAAAATTTCTCAACCTTGTGTCCTGCCTCCATGGTGAAAACGGTTGCCACGTAGTAACCAATTTGTTTTCCATGTCCATTTGGCCACCACGTCTCCACTGTAGCACTCTTGAACATAAAACAATGAAAGTCAGAGCATAACCAAGCAAAACACMAACCTTTGGACACTGTGGAGTGAATACTACAAGCCTAATGAGCTTATATGCCTCAGCTGAGCTGTGTTAATGGGGATCTCTCAAACAGCTGCACCTGCAGGGTGAAAAGTATTCACACCTTAGAGAGAAAAATGAGGTAGAAGCTACCACCCCATCTTGCATCCACTGGGGGCCACAAGCATGCATAAACACRCATGCAAACATCTGGCTTTTATCTCTCAGCTAAAGTACACTAATCTAATATTCCACCAAAAATTAAATATCTGAGTCTTAGGACAGGTTTTGTGCACCACCCTTTGTACTTCATCCCCCGTCCTTGTTCCACCAAATCCACTCACATGGCAGCYTTCCGAGGGAGAAGCAGGTCCTGCTCTGACCACTGCAATGGGGATTCTATCTTACTTACCTTCTAGGCACTACAGAGGGATTGCCACCAAATAATCATGTAAGATGCAACTATGTCTTTTCTGGGCACAATAAAATAATAGTAATAAAAATAGCAATTCCCACTGATCATCAGGAGTTTTACACTTTCCTATTTTTGCCTTTCCTAACTGCTCCTTTTATCTACCATATACAATATTCTGTTTACAGAGTCGACACTTTTCAGCTATCATCTTGGTAATACGTAACCACACCAAGTGCCTCAGTTGTGTCAAGCTTTTAACTCAAAAAAAAGTTTCATTCTCTCTTTTCAGTGTTTTCTGCCTTGTCTAAACAGTTTTTGATCATCTCATTACTACTCTATCAAGTTCATTTTTACAATTATGAAAAAACTGTCTCTAGGATGACAGTATGACTTAAAACACACACAGTAACATTCATATAATGAATTTCCTATAGCTATGTCTCCATCCCAACAGCATGCTTCTGCTGCTCAATCCTACCGACAAGATACGTCGGCTGAGTGCACYACACAGAGCTTGGGGAAAGCAAGCAGCAATGCACGCAACTAAACAATGGACAGATCCCTGCCGAGCAGAGCCATGCAAGGAGAGCCTGAATTTTTCCAACAAAATTAGGCCAGACAGCTGCTTAACATTTGCTGCATCCACACTGCAACACAACCACCAGTACATCTACACTGCAGCCTCTGTGATCTGCAGTTACTGTAAGTGCCCATGCAGGAGCACAAGCCCTTGCAGTGCAGGCACACTAACAGAAAGACATAAAACTGTGCGTGCCCCAGCAACGAGACGGTATTTGCAGCACGACGGAGCATCTCATTGGTCACCAGTGACATCACCCCTATGCTGGTGAGCAAAACGCCATCACACCAGCACACAGCATCCAGGAGCCTGCTCCATATCCCAGGCTGCATGCACCACCCAAACCAACACCGACTTCACAGCGTAACCAGCAGTAAGTTCTCAGCCAAGACTGTGTTTCTGGAAAGGTCTCTCTCTAATACACACCATGCAAGCTTGTTGTATAGAGCAAGAGCTCTAGCGTGCTCAGTGACTCCCCCGCAGGGCTTTCGGACACATCAGCTGCTGTGAATTCATGCAGTGACGTCCTCCGTGCGCACAGAATAACAAAGCACGGCTGTTGCCTCCATTCTAAAGAGCGTTTCCTCACAAACCTCACTAGAAGTCAYACTCCACCAACGGATCTTCTCTGAGTTTGGGGGTAGGGTGACAACCTGAACTAAAATCACATTCAAAGTTTCATGTCACAGCACCTGTTCAATGTAATCCCTGAAAGGGTTAAGCAGAGACTGCTGTTTGCAAACAAAAGCAGGCTAGGCTATAACCTGTGTAACTTGCATGTCAAATGCTAACAGTAACAAAAAATGTTATATTTGTATGTTTTTATTTTATGTATAAAACAAAACATACAATATGTGAGCAGCTACGTGTACAATACCCTGCTTAGCAGAGGCTTTTTACCTACTCGAGCTGACAAGAGGACTCATGAACAGTACCTAATACAGTCAAGCTGGGGAAACAAATACAGAGTTACACAGCAAGAGAGAGGATTAACAAAACCCTGTAAAATACACAAAGTTTACTGTAGACTCTCAGACATTACAAACTATCAGATTTGTCAACACCCAAAGTCTGTTTTCTTCGATCCTCCCTTTTCAATTGAGTYATCCCCTCACCACAGCGTGCTTTGCTTTCCTGCATCTCCTGCTGTCATTAAGCAATCACAAGGTAAGCAGCATAGCTCCACAAACATTACTCCAAATTCCCTACCAGTTAGAGAACACACTGAGGAAGGTGTCCTCTCTCTCAGGAGAGCCAAGACAGACCCAAGTACATTCCAGTATATTCTAGCCCCAATCAACTCAGTAAACAACATCCTGGGAGACAAGATACCTGCTGATAGTAAATAAAAAGTGACATACAGGATCCAAGGGTTATTTACCTAGGTAACTCATTCATCAGCGGCCAGTGATGAGATCTTTCAGTTTCATGGTAAGGGAAAGATTTCAACAATTTTTGCACGGTGAGCAATGCAGCCGCACAGAAATCATTTTCTGAGAGAAAAAGAAATGTTCCTCTATCCTGGAAGTTGTGAGGCACCGCTATTAAAGTGAGGAAATAAAAAGGAAGCAGAAAGAGGACCAAAACTGGTACGGAAGCAGACAGACACACTGTAACCCAGAGAAACACTTTGCATTTGGYGAGGGTCCCCCCCACCATTTACCTTGTTGATGTTTACAAGCAGCACAATGCTGCCTTCTCCAGGCTGAAGCTTCACACTGAACGTTTGCTGCGTTTGCAGTTTGGGGATGCTCACTGTCACAAGACCCGAAATCTGCTTGGAACTGACTACATCAAATATAGACTCAATCTGAAGACTCCACTGCTGAGCACTCTTATCTAAATTAAGGGAGAGAGAAAACAATAATTTATGAATTTACATACATATACATACCTATTAATTAACATGATCACTCATCAAAGAAATGATTCAAAACCCTTAGTTTAAATTAAACAGTTTTAAGACTGCATTTGACTCAGACCTATGAAGTTATTCTTCACTGCTTAGCACACTTACTATCTGTGTTTACATCTACTAACTCAGGAAACAACTACATGGTGTGATGGATACTTTATAGCTCATTTTTGACTCAAGGTCTTTTCCAACTTGAAATATTCTATGATTTTCTCTCTTCCCCCTCGCCCCTGCAAGTTGAAGAACACGAAACACTATCATTAGGAAGGGTATTTTTCCCCACCAGCTCCCACAGACATTACATTTTCTTTTAGTCAGCATCCACATGAACATGGTCCTCTTTGGGAAAGATTGTAATCACAGGGCAGTACAATCACTTTTGTCTATGAAACAAAAACAGTATTAACRGAAAACTAGCCCAATTCATTCTGGAGTCACTAGACAAAATGAATGGAGTTATGCTGGGGATGAATTGGGCCCATTGTGTCTAGACTTGACAGGCTGCATCTTTGTGCCCCTTCTACCGCCAAAGCGTGGTAGAAGAAACACATTAATGACTTGCCCAAGATCTCACCACAGTTGCCTCACAGAATCTTCTCCTTTACAAAACAACTTACTGATTAAAGCAATTCAAGGTCAAGGATTTCATGATTAATGCTCAAATTTCCCATTAAGTTTAGCCATTATATTATCTATCTACAAGCATAGCCTAGCTAATCTTCTAATTTAAGTACTTACTTTCCTTGCTTTCTCTTTATATATTTTAGTTCTCACAAAAGAGAAAATTCCTTGCAAAAGCAAAGAATTACATTTAGCCTTTGAAGGTTAAACTACATCCAATGTTACCCGGAGAGGACTGATTTTTAGAAATATTGAAAAGGTTAGCCCCTTATCTCAGCTCAGGCATTACAGCACATTTTATGCCCCCTCCAAGAAATCCCAGCCTACTCCTGAACTGCTTGAAATGCAGACCCTACGCACAGAGTCAGGAACAGTGAATCCTTTACAGATTTAGTGGGCAAAAGGCTGTGACACAAACACTGAAGACCAACATAAGCGCAGTTCAAATGTAAGTTTTTCACTGACTCCTTATTTTTTCAGTGTTTTGTGTTTGAATGTTAATAAGCTCTGGTTCCAAGCACTGCATGGCAAACCAAGGGGATTTGCACTTTGCTTATACAGAGAGCAACGCTTCACCTACCAGAAGGTGGAGTTGTGGGAATAAGGGAGGGACCAAAAAACATTTTTACTATAATTGAGTTGTAGGCAGCACATCGAGTTCATGCTGGGGCTTTCCATGGAAATTCCAGTCATGTTAATTTTAGCTAAGATCTGCAGCTATTTCAGGAAGCTTTAAAAGCATCCAGGGAACGACGTCTTCCTCTTTTATTCATACACAACTCTATTCCCAAAGGGTGAAATTCAACCCAGTGCAGAGGACACACGTGCCAATGTTCGCTCTGCTGAAGATTGGGCTCAAAATGTGGCAAAAGCAAGCACGCGAGTGGTCTAATAGAGGGCACATTACAGAGAGTTTCAACAAAAAATTGCCTATTTTTATTTTTGCTTGGCTGCAAGATCAGAAGGACAAAGGAGACTAATATTAAAAAGCCCACAGCAGGGGAAGAAACTGGTTAGGTAAGTCAAGGAGCARGAATGCAAAGAGGCTGTCCTCTTGTATTGCAGACTTAACAAATTATTCTTGCATAGTCTGGCTGCACTTCTGTCTCAGACTTCATGTTGAGTCCTGAAAACTCAGGGCTCTTGAAACTCTGCTCACAATGTATTTGTTTTTCCAGCAAATGACTAAATTCTCCTAACAATTTTGCCTTTGTTTTCAGTGGAGATGAGACAAGAGAGAGACATATTTATTGGGAGTCCTCGTGAAAACTCATGCCAGTAAAATATAAAAATAATAAAAATRTCTTAAGCAGAAGAACAAGGGCAAACCTAAGTTATACCACAATTAAATTTATAAAGTTGTTCTGGGTTCTTCAAGAGAAAAAAAATAATTAACAATTCCCATCACCACTGCTTATACTGAAGCACTGTCTCAAGACCTAAACGGGTGTGTTGTGTTGTGGTAAGCACTATATATACAGTTGTAAAAACACAATATCTTTCCTAAATGGAAGTTAATTGAGCCTAACAATAAAACAGACTGTATTCCAAGGGTGAAACAACAATAAAAAAAATATGTATATAGCTTACCAAAGAAGGGAGTCAAAGTGAAGTAAATCAAGTGGTAATGGTTATAGGCCTCGATCCTAACGTCTTTCCAAATTCCTTGAGTGGGAAAAGAAGGGCCCCAGTCCCAGCTAAAGGAACATTGCTCCTGCAATACAGAATGATATTACAGTTGCCCAGTTTTCACAAAGGAATCTCTGCTGTTTCAGAAGTAAAAATGATTTGCTATGTAGAAACAAAATAATGCCATTGACTCAAAGCAAGATGCTTTTTTTTCCCCTCCTAATTTCTACCAATTCAAGATAGCCTACTGTTTTTTTTCTATTGCTCCTTCACTAAAACTCAGCTGACACATATATTAAAAATACAAATTTGTATGAAATATTCATACCTATCAGAATTCAATATTAATTTATCTTCAATTTATTATCTTCAATATAAAGAAGAMGACAAAAAATTAGGCAGGTTACTCTCAGATTAACTCTGAATTATTTTAGCTTTAAAGACAGTACTTAATTCTATACCAAAAAGACAAAATAAGCAGCAAACTGACTGTTACAAATACTAATCACAATTAAAAATATATATCAAATTAAAAATCAAAGGGACCTCTGAAATGTTTTACTCTGTAAATTTTGCAGTAACATTACGGATTAGTACAAGGAAAGAGATGTATGTATTTGTTGGGTGCATTTCTGTAGTTCAGTCATATACAGAGTTTCTTCCTTTTTATGTTTCCCCCATACAAAAGCAAAGGGAACAAATCAATGGCTAAGAAAAAGCTTAGGTCTGGTTCTAACATTAGAATAACCAACAGAAGCTGATCAGAGCAGCCCCTACATTGCCTCCCATTTAGTTGTTTTTTAAACCAGGTCAGACTTGCAGCTAACAAGCTCCCTTGAAGACATCTATGCAGCTGCCCTCCACACTTCACACAGCCCCAGCCCCCAAAGCAAACACAACAGATCCCCTTGAAGTCTTGTACAGTGACCTACAGTTCTAAATTTAGCAACTAATAACTTACAATCTAGGCATACTAATTTTGGCAAACCACATTGCACAAATCTGGCCTATCCCTTGCCTCCTTGCAGTCAGCAGGCCTGCTTGCCTATCAAGTTGCAAAAGAACCTTCCAGGAAGCAAGCACTGCACCTATTTCAAGTGTAAGAACAAGGACAATACATTCTTAGAAAACAACCCAGATTGGAAATAACTTTCCCTTTATAAAAAAATAATCATTAATAATATTGCACAGACTATCAGAAATAATATGTCACGAGAAAAATACACGTGTAGCATTAAATTACATAACTAGTGAAAGGCTTGTATTTGACCCCAAATTTTTACTACGACTTAYGTGCTTGCTGCATTTAATACTGAACTTCAGATGTGTAAATAGCTCTCCACTACTTTAAGCTTGTAAGCTCCTAGCTTACTTTAGAAATGYCCAGGCCAATTTGTTTACTTTTGAATGTACCATCTCTGCTGTTGTCACCTCTGCTTCGTACRAAAAATGTTTTTGGATATATTTGAAGCAGCTTCCTTGCAGTCAATCAGTTCCTCTGAGGTAAAGAATTAAGACACTTTCTTACAGGTTTAAAAGTAAGGCTCAGTAAAGAATAAAAATCATTCCTGGCCATTTTTGTTTTATAAATAAGACTACAGCTGTTCAAGTGCCATCTTCCTTTCAAGCTTCTCCCTGTCCTGATTTCTAAGAAATATGGTGGAGACAGCAAATGGATTCAGAACTGAACAACTCTCTAAAATGCAGTAGAAATAAAAGCATCATGTAGTAATAAAGACAGCACACTAATCCTGAAGAATGCTTCCAAGCTACACAAAATCTACCCCTCTTAATAAAATCTAAAGGAAATTAGATTTAGTGTTGTATTAAAAGGATTCTAGTCATTTTTGAGGAGGCTTCAAATGACTTTCTTAAAAAGACCAAAACTCACTTAGCAAAAAAGGCATGCAAATGGTGACAAACACAAAGAGAGAAAAAAAAAAAAAAAAAAAAAAGAAAAAGAAATTTTCAATAAGGTCACCGATCCACTGCTTCCAATTGCTGCAAAGATTGCAAAAATAAGTGAGATGCTACACAAATGATACCCTACATAGACTTACTTTTAACAGCAGTGAAGCAATGTTAATTCAGAGTTTCCAAGCTTTACTCATTGTATATTACACTGTTTCTTTTACTGAATGTGTACTTGTAAATCACCCTTTTAACAACACAACATCGTAATAAGACGAGAATAGGCCCTCTGTTAGGTAACACTCCTCAGGACACGCCAGAGCTGCCGAGCATAAACAGCACGGCACACGAGCAATGGCAGAAACTCACAAAGCTACTTGGCTGAGATTTTTTTGTCTTGGCAATACCCTCTGGTATTTCTAACAGTGACCTCTGCTGCCAATACACATTGCTAAACCTGCCCAGTGCATCAAAATACACATTACACATTTCCCTCTGCTATCCTGCTTTCCTAGCAGCAAGTCTTCTTGCTGACACTTTGACAAATACAGGCTCTTAAACATTCTTATCACCTAGATATCCTTCGCCTGACCTTGTTGTGCATCTTACATTAGCAGCATGCTGGATTACAGGTTTCTTGGAGGGGCATCAGAAGAGAGTTGGAATGAAAAGTATGTTCAACTAGTAACAGTGACATTGCAGGTTTCAGAATACATCTGTAAGAACAGCACATRATGACTTCTTTCCAAGTCTCAAGCAAGAGAGAAACAATTCTGCCCCTACCTTTCTGATGAAATTAGCGTGGCACTCTCCTTTCTGCACAGGTGGAGGGCACGCCGGGGGGACTCTGTATCCCTTGTGGCATCTGCTCTGCTCTGCTGCGTATGAAATGGCTGATAAGAAACGGACTTCAACAAAATTGACCTCCTTAATAATGCGGGTAATATCAAAGCTCTAGGTCAAGAAAAGAAAACAAAGTCATTACAGCTCTGGTATTTATTTATGAAATCTATAATCACTGAAACTGGATTTTAATACCATACAGATATTATTCAAAAGCATTTGAACTTCAGCCTCATCAGGCTCAGGTCTGGGAGGAAAGCAAAAAGAGATCTCTTAAAATGAACAAGAAAAGATCATGTACACAAAGACTGTGATATGAGAAGATTTCTGGGCAAAGCACTTTGCCCACTCTGAGCCTCCACCACAGGCTGCAGCTCTTTGCTTGCACACGGAACTGCTTTAACGATGGGAATGGCAGCAGATACTTCACCTTTCTTCCTCACACAGAACTCATCTGAATCTTTAGAAACATATTTTGTTCCCATTCAGAAAGCGGCCAGCTATCACAGAGGCTGGAGCTGCCTTTTCCAAAAGTGCTGCAAACGCGTATTCCACGCTCCCTGCATTCCGATCCCTAAAATGCATAGATACATTTTCCATGTCGGCACCAAACAAAGCATTTGGGAGCTTCCTCACTGACTCACAAGATCTCCTCAGTGCAACTGTGTGGAGGGATGAATGTTTGGGTTTTCCTGTGCTATCAGGACAATGGAGTTCCAATGGCTAATACCCATTTCTTCTCTAAACTGCTAATTCATGACAGTCTAAGTCTTAGCACTTGTCCTACCTTGGGAACACCCTTCTAGCATTATTCTGCTACAGTAGATATCACCTCTGCWAGAGACAACAGAAAACTGCCAAGTAAACAACATCCTCAACAGGAGCCTTCACAGAAACTTTCCTGAAGAGGCACTTATGTGGAACGAGAGAACAATATAGGTGCCTGGATCAGAGCAAGCCCAGACTCATCTAATACATTGAACTCTGGCTCTGGTTCTGCRCTAATGGCCATTTCATGAACTGTTACAATCTGACATGAAATGAAGTTGCAGAAATAAGGGTTTAAAAAAAAAAAAAAAAAAAACCACAACACTCTACTACACTATTCTACAGAGCCTGCCACTGCAAACTTTAAATAGCTTTCAAATATTAAGTAGTTGTTATTCCATGAGAACTGAATGAAATTTCCTATTTCACAAATAGCAAAACTAAGTCAGAGAGAACCTAAGTGACTTGTCTTAGGTCACATAGACCCAGGTGTCAGAATCCAGGTCACTCATCTCTGTTGGGCTGTCAGGCATATCTGCAGTGAAACCTACTGGAGTGGTTAAATATCAGGCATAAGGAAACCAGATTTCTTTTGCGACTAGGTTACTCACCTGACAAATAGAAGACAGTCCACCTTTAACTCTTCCTTTATGGGCTTCTTAGGAGAAAAGCAGGGATTTCCCCTTCTACCAGTACGCAGAATCATTTTAAATATTAAAGCTATAAAATTGGTTTCTCGAGACCATTCTACAATGAATACTCTCATGTTGACATAGGCTAAACCCAAAGACACCAGACAACATTATTAAAATCCCAACATTAAAATTTAAAACCCTATATAAGAAAAAAAGCAYGATAACCTGTATGAAGGCTTTGCTCCACATACTTTTTCATTTCAATATTCATATGCAAACCATTCTAATACCTATTAGTAAGCAGATTTAGAGCTAGTATAACAGATTTAGGGTTATGTTTGCTTGGATCTGTGACAGATCCCAAGAAGCAAGACTTACATTATTAGATGAACTGATCCTTTTGCATTGGTCCTCTTACTAAGAAGAACAACACTCCTGGAAAGCTAAATACACTGTGCTTTCCAGCAGCTAGTTACCTGACTACTTACACACTTCTCAGGTCAACACTTCCTAAATGCTAGTACCTATTCTCATGTCCACTTAAACAAACTCAAAGTCTCTGGCACAAAAAGGCTTTGACAGAAAAACAGGAGTACCTTCAGAAATAAATGTATTACTTACATATCTGTTGAACATGTTGTCTGTTCTGCCAATAGTGATATTGTTGATCAGTATTTCTGCTACTGTATCCACTCCCTCAAAAACCAAATTCACTTTTTGCCACTTTCTACAGAAGATGACATATGTGTAAAATTGTTAAAAGTATCTGGAGTTAACAATACAGGGAAAACATAATACACATCCCTGTTATCTTCAGCAGCGATCATCTCAATGATCTCCAAAATGTTTGACTTTGTGTAGCTACGTAACTTTTTTAAATAGTTAAGTGAAGATGACACCTGAAATGGCTCTTGTCTGCAACAAAACATGTTCACATAGCCACCAGCTATCAGATGGGCTAGCTTTCAATTAATTTAATTATTACTCTCAGCCTGAAACTCATAAATCATTTTTCAAAGGGAAAAAAATGGGAAAAAAACAACTGCTATACTGTCTTTTAGCATATTAGCATACTAAAAGATAGCATGCTGTCTTTTAGCATATACTGTTTTTACAGCTGCATATTTTTGTCTATTTTATTACACACAGAAGTATTTTGGGCTGATGCATAAACAAGCAATTCTGCATGCAAGATGTCACATAATCATTTTAGACACTTATTGCTTACCTGACATCAAAAGGAGTTTTGAATGTCCTGCTGTAAGTCCAGTTATCCAGCGAGATCCATCTGTACATCACATCATTAAATCTATAGTATGGATCCTAATTAAAAATAAAAAAGTTACAACATTTATTTAGTAATAGTTTTACTAAATAAAATGCTTCGTAACATTCATTAGAGGAATCTGTTCTTTCAGATAGTCTGCAAATGCAAAAAAAAAAATTCTTCTTTTACTCAGTTCTGGTAGTCTTTTTTTTTTTTTTTTGGCCTCTGAGGCAATATGTGAAATACGAGTTTTAGTAATATTTGGCTGTAACTAGGTTGAAAACAGGTCGAATCCTGTTTCTTGTAATCATTCATACTTAAAACGGCAGTAGGAGGATTTGTTTTTATGTAAGAAATGATGAGGCTGGAAATAAAAAAAATCAAGACAAAAATAAAAAATATTTGATGGGAGGGATGGAAATATGATCACCCTCACAATGATGGTGAAAGTAAWAGAACTCTAAGGAGCACAGAAACAGACTTTTAGACTGCTAGGGATAGCAGTAAACAAATCTCTACTGTTCAAAATAATAGCAATCACTCCTATTGATTCTTGTCAATGGTCTTGATTCGGTCAGATCAAAAGAAAGCGCTGCAATTAGAGGGTGGCAGGGAGGAAGAGGAGAAAGAGAAGGAACACAGTTTGGTTTGCTGTGTGCAATTAAATGACTTCATTTTAGAATAACACCAGGTTCGCAAGCTCTTGGTTTCAAGCTGTATTTATTATCCTGTTCTGGGTCACGCTGTTCCTCACCTAGGCTGARCAGATGAGGTATGTGGACCTGACAAGCCTTGCACCTCACCCATGGGCAGACGAAAGAAAGGTACTGTGTTACAGCTGCCTGTCTGGCAGCTCCAATTGCAGGTAGCTGGGTCAGTGACTGAAAGCTCAGCTCACAGACAAGCTGCCTTCTCAAACCAAGACCAATCTCTTATGGACTATGAGACTCAACCACAGTCAATAAAAGGGAACAGAGCTGCATTAAGATTCTCTTTGATAGGTGTTTCCTGCAGTACCAGTACAGCTAACTACCTGCTCTGGATATCCAAACTAAACTCTGAAGAAAATTCGCTCGGCTGTTTCATTTGCCTTGCTGAAGATCAATTTTTATCCTTGCTCCAGAATTCAATATAAATACTAAAAAGAGTTTTGAATTTGAACTCCTCTGAAAGACACTGTTGTACACCGCATATCTGTTTTTACCACTACTAGGGTCAGCCTCTGTAATATACACACAAACCTGTTTACTGAGTTGAGCAAAATTATAACACTTAAAAGACTGTTCTCAGCAGCCTAATCTCTTCTGGAGTCCCAAAGCAATATAAGTGTTATTCCTAAAGCCTCTACGGAGGGAAACTTGTAGCATTCCTCTATGCCGCCTTCTTTCAATCAAATTTCTTATCACAAGGGAATATGAACCAAGAAGGAAAGCTCTTGTCACTTCAGCAAAACTGTGACCTTGCAGATATGGGACATCCACGTTGGCAACACGATGTTCTCTCCAGAAGCTAAGCCATTGTGAGCTTACCAGAACCATTACTGCTTCAAAAGTTTTCGTATTACCACTTTTACATGCAAAATGCTTGAGGAATACACCTTAAAAAGTACATTTAGAACATCTGCTTTGCTTTAACGTTCTGTTTATTTTAGGCTATATTCTGGAAAATGTCCGTGTTAAATTGCAATTGTTGTCACTTGGATACGAGGAATAATTAACAAAAGCATGAGAAGCAAGCTATAAAAGCACTACCATTACCATGCTGTAAAGTCAAGAAACACTTGGTTGGCGGTCAAACAACCAACACCAGATTCTCATCAGAGATCAATACCTTTTGTAGAAAAATCATTTCTCCCTGAAAGTCTGAAAACTAAGATGTGCATGGAAAAAAGATCTGATAAAAAGAACACCACGCTGCTTCTCTTGCAGCTGAGAGAAATATAAGGATGCTTCATGAGAGGCAGAGATTGCATCATCCAACTGTCCCTTATAGGCTTGTACAAACAGGGCTGCTTGTTTAAATCRACTCAGCCAGTACAGCAGGTTCTTCTTCCTGACAGAGCTTTCATCTGTAATAGTGTCAAGTCCTCAACTTTTAAGAAATGCATTGACTGCTAAGATATATGTCACAGAAGATACTAAATACCAATATTCATAGAGTTGTATGAAAACACGAGTTCCAAGGGGGTATTTCCTCACAGGCCTCAAATATGAAAATTCTGAGAATGGAAACTCACAGCTCTGTGTACCTTTATACCAAACTTGTGGCTTACTGATACCATTGCTATTTAAAACAGCTTATACAACACACAGAAAAGTCATTTAATGCTAACACTGGTTAGTGATATCACAGATGTTTCTAGCAGTGGAGTTAAGCATGTGGAAATGCTCCAGCAATTTTCTAAAGACAGATAAGTGGTTAAAAAAAAATGCTTACAACAGTGTTTTAAGAATGGGAAAACATGCTCCAATAGCGTTGTAAAATTACTTACCCCACCACACTACTACTATTAACTTTGTTTTGAGTGTTGTAAAATGTATCTATAGAAGTCAGTGCTTGGACTTAAACTGAAATTCATCCCACATGAAATCAGCTGACATTAAAATTAAAGGTTTATTTCAGAAAAAAATGGAGACACACACACAAAAAAGACAGACCTTAAAACTCTTACAGACCCTGTGAGAACCTGATACACAATGGGAAATGCACTGCTCACGTATTAAACATACCTGACATTCATCATCTCACTGTGTTTATTGGGATGGAGCACTGAAGGGGTGGAGTTCGCTATGGTAATTTTTAGATGCAGCCCAACAYGACAGCCTTGGACTTTGCCCTAAAATTTGGGGAACAATTCCGGACTACTCAGTCTCTTTGTTTGTCTGGTCTCCGCTCCAAGCTTCAGTGTCATCAGCAGCAGCAAATAACTTGCTAAGATGAAGCAAATCCACCCTTACCTACAGAGGATCAAAAGGAAACATTCCTGGTTCTGATAACAGGACACTAGCAGGACTTCAGAGGAGCAGTGGTGGTATGAAACTGCAGGCACAGCCAAAAGGCTAGATATAAACTCCTCGTTGCAATGATCTGAAGGGGCTGTTTGAAGTGCCATGGCCATTCGTAAGAGACTCCCTTAGTCAGGAAAGGGATGAGACGCCAACACATGGGAAGCGAGGCCCAAAGGCAGCTTTGCCAGCATATCCAGTCTGACACAGCAGCAGCCTTGCATCCCTGGCATCTAGCTGATACAGTCTCTACTTAAACTTATCCAAATCCCCACACTCCTTGTCTTCTCATAGGCTACAACATTTACACCCTCTTCAGTAAGCCCTGCTTCACATATTTACAGTTTGAAGTGAAGCTGAACCAGCCGCAGTGATGAATGGTCGTATTCTTTGAATGCTGGTTTAGGAATCACATCCTCAAATGATTCATTTTCAGCACTTGCTCCAACAAGGTAGCTAACTGAATGTCACCTTAGGCTCTACATGAGCTACAGCTTAGCACTGAGCCAAGCTCTAGAGAGGAGTAAAGCTGAAACACAGATACTAGTATAATTAACAAAATATTAATACACTTTTCTTGATTTTCTTTCTATACTCTGCTATATGGAAAAGGCAACCATAATTTTGTCCATTTTAACTTAACAACATTCAAAAAGAACACCTAAACTTGAGTGCTCTTTAAAGTTACTCAAAAAGTTACTCAAGTGACTCAAGTTACTCAGGCTTTTGAATGTTTCTGTGTTTTTTTTCACACAACTCAGCAAAGTACATATATGTAACAAAACTGTATATTTGTATTGATAAACAACTTTCATTAACAAAATGCTACATAACCTGTTAGAATCAATGGCAATAACTGCAACTGTTACTTGTCTTTCTCTGGAAAACCACAACTACGACAAAGAATCAGAAAACATGCAACAACGTATGTTAAGCAAATGCAGAATAAGTTATTAAAAATAAGTGCTACTTTTCAGAGCTGCAGAAATGCAACTTGAGACACATAAGCCTGTCTTCTAATATGCTTGCATAGACAAATATAGAGGTAGGACTATAACCACGGTAACCTTCAGTGTCAAGTGCATGCCCTGTGTTGCATACCAGACACGTTCTCTGATACGCCAGAGAATGGCATTATCCAACCCCTATATTCGCACACCCCCCACCATAGTTCTTTATAAATCAAAGTGACAGCTAATAATACAAAACACCCTTTCTATATGAATGCAAATGGCCGACAGATGAGAAAATCAGTTACAGTAGTCATATTCATCTGATCTCTAATTGTATGGGAGTCACCTGCCAGCAGGAACAGCACCATGCAGTACTTGGACAGTGCCTGCCTGGTGACCATTATTTCTAGCACAGAAATACAACGTACAAGCTACATGCTGATATATCTTGCTTATCACAACAGTATCTAAAAACGGGCTGACAATTTACCCTAAAATAACCTTAAACAGAACTGTTTCTGCTAATTTTTTTTTTCCCAGAGATTTAGTTCCAGCTATAGCTTTGTTGCAAGTTTGCAAAATGTGTGCACTTTTGCACAAACTTTGTACTAAACCTATTCAAACCTAAGTTTGTTGAAGTGTATTTCTGGTTACTGGTTACATGTAAATAACAATAAAAGCTACTGAACCTCAACGAAATACTAAGGTATCCCAGCTGAGCACACATTCTGATACTATTTCCTACCCTTAGAGCTTTTATCGTATTTAATCCAGCATTTGAATTGTCTTTCTTGAACACAAGAAAAACACAATATTTCTGTAGGAAGCTCAGAAGCAAAATATGCTGTATATTTGCAAAAAGATGTGTTCATCCAAAGTATATTTAATAAGTCAAAGAGTAAAGGCATCTCTGGGAAGAATGCTAAGAGCATCTAGAGAGAAAAAGTAACAAACTCTCAGTGTCAGAAAGATTCCTTTTAATCCACATGCCCAGTGTGCACAGCAGATTAAGTACAGCTACAGGTAGGCAATTACAAGCATTCTTGGGCAAAATCAGTTTGTGCAGGACACATATGGCTGAAGTCCATACCTGTATTCACATGTTCAAATGTCCACAAAAAACATCATATTTAACTAGCCCAGCAGCCCTTTACCTATCTATCACCAAGACCTGTGCTGCCGGCCTGCAGGCAGATGAAGCTTTGGCTGATGAAGTAACTATGCACACACAGCCTTGGGATGCTGCCCAGGCACATGAGAGTTCACAATCACAATCTCATTCCCAAATGCCATACTGCTGTTTAAAATGACTAAAATTACATAGCAACTGTAGCTGTTATAGCAATGCAGTTAAATCACAGTTTCTCACTTCACAGGAGTGCTTAAACRCGAGTCTTTCATTACGTCATTACCTTGCATGCAAAAGTCAGTGCTCTAGTCACAGTTTCCCCTGAAATTATTCACGGTTTTTACAGCAACACCTCATAGCACCAGCAAACATTAGAGATGTCTGACCTCTACACACTTTTGCACAGGAGAAACAGGCATAACCCTAGTCGTGGACTTACCATACATACTCTACCTGTCCACTGCCTTTTTTGCCTTGTTGCAAAAACCTCTTCCAACAACTCCATTGCACACATCAAAAAAATCCTGCAAATCATCACAGCAATGTTGAAGCAACAGCTAGTAAGGGCTCTACTTGATACCCTTTTGGTTTATTTACTTTTTTCATTATTGACTATTTTTTTAATCTGGTCGTTTTATCATGTGTTATTAGCAGTGGGCTTCGCAGTGTGCGTCACAATACAGTAAGGATAAAAGCAGCCTGCTCCAAGTGAGGTCACGCCATCCATTCAGCTCCCTAGCTTTAGTCAGAGCAGAGGAGGAGTACAATCAGAAGAATAAAAAAGATTTTTTTTTTTTTTAATACTGTACAAGAAATACAAGATTGAGCCTGTGGTTAATCTGGTACTATAGGTACACATGACATCCTTGAACAACATGTGACACTATCTCACACACAACAATTCTGATAACTCAGTTACGCTTCCCCTACTCAGCTTTCTTCCCCTTTCCAAGTGTGCATTTAACGGCGGCTTCCTGCACTCTTCCTTTATAAAAGGTATCTTAAATAAATGATGACCCAGACAGCACCAAGCAGTTCAGGCAACAAGAGTTTTTCCCAATGTCACCGACTGCACCAAGGACTTCGCTACACATCTACGAAAGTAATGTGGGCCTTCTTTCACAGAGAGCAGCCACCATATCTTCATAAATCAAGGTAGCAAGTATAACAGTTAAAATCTTATATTTAAAACAAAAAAAAAAAAAGACAAAAAAAACTTTTGAAAACCACTGTGGGAGACAACTCTCTCACAGCTGGCAGATTGACTCGTGGTTGAGTACACGATCATTTGGAAAAGCGGCAGCAGGGCACAAATCAACCCCCGGGGTTGTGGTTGCACATAAGTGCCCGAAACCCCTCGATTTGGGGCCAAGCGCCGGGAGTGGAGAGCGGGGGACGAGCCCTTGGCGGCCGCGGGCCGGCTGGGTGCCGTACCTGGATGAGGCCGGCGCGGCGCAGGGCGCTGTGGACGCAGCCCGGCACGTCGCCCCGCAGCGCCACGGAGCCGTTCGCGCTGCGCAGCCGCCAGCTCCCGCGCAGGCTGCGCGCCTCCGGGCCGCCCGCCGCCAGCAGCAGCGGCGGCGGCGCCAGCAGCAGCAGCAGCGCGACGTGGCCCCAGGGCGGCCGGCGGCAGCGGCCGAGGGCCCCGCTCCCCGCCGCCATGGCCCTACCGCGGCCTCGTCCAGAGCGGGACACTCCCACCGGCCCCCAGCGCCGCCCGTTGGCCGTTAACGGCCGCGGGGCGGGTGCGCCCCGCCCTCCTTGCGCACCGGCCGTTAACGGCTACTGCGCGCGCGCGCAACGGCTGGGCGGGAGGGGCGGAGTCGCGCGCGCTGAGGGGGCGAGGGCAGAGGGACAAAGTGCCCAGGGGAGACGGGGGGCGAGGAGCTGTAAGGAACCCTCCTTTCCATTTCTGTCCTCGTATTTCCGTCTTGTCTGCAGTTACAGACTGTAAAGTCAGAGCAGGGAAGGTGCAGAAACGCTCGGGATGCTAAGGAGTTAATTGCTTAAACATATACATTTCATACACCAAACCATGCAGGACTAAAACCGTGACTGTCGCACGAAATCACGCTGCTGCTCCCTGGATGCACATTAGATTGCAAGGGCAAAATGCAGACCAAAACAGGGATAGAGAAGAGGAGTGGGGTTTTTTTTGTTGTTGTTTGTTTGTTTTTAATCCTCCCTTTTATATCGCCTCTGGCTTTCACACAACCAACAGTGCGTTGTAGGAATCTACACTAGACATGCTATTAAAACATTATTGAGCACCATCAACATTTTACATTTCTCATGCTGATTTTTTGGGCTGACAACACTGCATTTTAATTTAGGGGGAAATGCCAACCCTTCCGTGCGTTTATTAAAACAAGTATACAATGTTTAGCCACTAAAAGTATACAAGGTATATAACCACAGATGATTTTTCACACTACAGTGGAGCACATTTCTAAGAAACCYTAGTTCTGGAAGAGAAAGGGGAGCTGAACCTCTCTTTCAGCTTTTTGTTAGTAGCTGAGCACTTTTAAGAACAGTTATAGAGTACAGTAACCTAGGATCAGTATATGGAACCTATATTTTTATTCAGCCAATTTCAGTTCAATTCCCAGCAATATTCTAGTGACACTGATAAAATAAAAAATGATAGAAGACTGAGTTACCCTAAGTATCCTAATTAGCTTCACTCTTTCCACAATTCAATCTAAATTAGTATCTACCTTCTAACCTTTAAAAGTACCAGGTACATTAATAGCATAAGGTCTCGTTCTGCTTCTGCCATCATCCATCAGGGAGCAACACAAAATAGCTTGCAGGGCTACCTCACAACTCAGTGCATTTTTCTTCAAAACTTAATTCAGCTACACAACACCCAAAGCCTTTAAACACTGTGGCAATCCTTTAAGGACCTTGCAGAACATTATTTCTCAAGGAGCACACTTAGGGAAAAAAAAAAAAAAAAAAAAAAGAGTTTTTCAAGGCTACTGAGGGGGCAAGCTGCCCCCCCCCCCCCACCACCCCCCAAGCTTTTTCAGCAAGTCATGTGGTGGCTTCCCAGTAAGGAGGAGGAAACTGCATTTCAAGATGTTTACTGTACTTCCGTGTTTTCTTGGCCTTTCATTTTTCTTCTGAAGACTGACTGGAGCAACACACATACGCATACAGACACACACACACACACACACACAGAGGCTAAAGACAATGCTGTAATTAGGTATTCCAAGAACATGCTGTTTCCTTGTTCAAGGCTTATAATTAAGTTAAATCATGTCTCATTTTCAGGGTTTATTTTGTTTGTTTGAGGGTATTTTTAAACAAATGACTTTTTTCTTTTCTGTTTAAAGATACAACTAGAGCCATAAAGACTACAGTTTTATCTTCCGAACTTTCAAGACACACAGCAAGGTCTTTTGTGTGGTTTTCCTTTGTTTTGCACCATATTCCATCCCTTTTTGAAGTACCGCAAATTTGAGCGGTTACTACAATCCTTACTGGAGGAGACTGCAAGCTGATACRCTTTATCGACTAAGACAAAAATCCCAACACAAAACCATGCCTTCTGTTGTGCGAGAAGCAATTCAGAGCGGTTCTATTGAAGCTGCCCCAATTCTGCAGCGTTAATCCAGAAGTCTTTTGTTTCCAATTACTATGCAATCTCTATCATTGTGACAGGCTGTGGATGTTTTTCTCTTTCAAATTCAAGTTCGGTGAGTTCAGGCGAAGGTTTTAAACAAACAGGTTCCCATAGATTTGGCAGCAATAGTTCAAGATCTTACTGCCCCCACCTGTCCACCCTGCACTATTCTTCTCCAAAGTCGCCATCTCCAAAGCAAACCAGGGCACTGGCTCCACACCAGTCCCTGCCACTATTTCTTTACAACCTTAAACTGCCATAGACAAAAATGTCAAACAACTAAAGAATCATCTGCTTTGGGGAGCTTTGCACCAATTCAGCAACACAGATGCAGACATGCTTGATAACTACCAGGGGAAAACAGGCCTGCTGTTTGCCTTGCTGCACTCACCTTTAGACAATGCAGTGCATCTCTGTGACAGCTTTAGCCCCTACATACAGCTCCTCAGAAGAGTTGAGTCCTCTGGTTCCTGACTGACTGCCAAGCATTTAACTATTATGCAAATGGCTTTTCTCTGGGGCTGGCATGAAGGCTGACAAAGTAAATGCTGCAGGGAGGCCTTCCAGCTCTGGATTTGTGAAGGATGGCTAGGGGAAGGGAAAAAAAGGAAAAAAAAMMMMAAAAAAAAGAACAGATTTCAGGCATTATTCTATATTTATCTTGAATTCCATCCAAGAAGGATGTTACAAATAAAATAAGGAAATAAATTAACATTGCTTTTAGATGAGGACACTATTAATGCATCACTAGAACAGACTTTGTAYGAGGCTATCATGAGTCAAATACAAAACCAGAAACATAAATGGTAGGACTGAAGTTCAGCTTATAATTATTGGCAAATTCTGTAGGTCACTGCAAGGGCATTTCCTCAGCAAACAAAATTACCCATCACTAATAATCATGAACAATTCAAACTAAGCATGTGGAAAGGATACTACTCTAGGCAAATATTATATGAAAAAGTAGTAATTTAAAATTAAATACAGAAAAAGGCAGCAGATACAACTATACCCTTAAACTTCATCGGCTACCCAGAGGCAAACACCTGTATCTGTACCTTGAATAACATCTTGTTTTGAGATGGGCTCAAATCACAGGATTCAGGTTTTAAATCATCATCTTCTAACATACAGGCACAAAAGGCCAAAGTACCTGGCATGACTACATTTCTAAAGATAGATTTCTCAGAAAATGGATTTCTCAGGGCCTTTATACTTTTTTAACCTTCCCCCCACTTTATAAACAATTTTGAGACAAACTTGCTTGCTTAGCCTTTCCTAAAAGGCTAAAATTAGCCAGTCAGCTATGACCACAAAGAATGCATGACTTGTCCCTAAACACCTGAAATCAAGTCCCTCAAAACACGGGTATCAGAAGTAATCAACTGCTTCTTCTATGACGAAGTCTGAGAGGCCTCCTCGCGTCTCCCTAAGGCTGCAAAGCTCTCCTGGCCTTTTGCCAGCCAAGCACAGGACATACCAAACAGATGAGAATGAAACATATATCCATCCTGCTGTTCTAATGAATGCTTCCCATGCAGGTACGTATTATGAGGATGTCATTAAAGATTTATAGCTGGTGAACTGCGCGAGTAAACCAAAATGGATCTGGAGGAGCCGGACACTCRGCAGCCAGCCGTTGCTTCTCCCCCGGCTCAGCTGTTCTAGACGGGGCACTCGGGCAGCTCACAGCCTCAGCTCCTCACAGTGCAAGAGGCGGCAGCTCTGATCAAACTCACTAGAACATATCCAGCTTGCTTCTTTCAGTAAAAGCGACCCAAATAGGAGCACCAAGGAAAATGCCAAATAACTACTGAAAGCTGTTGGTTCAAGAGGCACTTTCCCCTGCTCTCCACGGAGATGAACAATTATTCTAGCACCTACAAGAATGGCCAGAAGTCCTACTCAGCAAGGTCTCTGCTGCACCAAGTCCCACTGACACAACAGCATAAACTAAGAGAGTTTGCCTACATACAAGAAGCCTTCACTTGCCAAAGTGATGCCAGTGCAAACCTCTTAAAAACTATACTGCATCCTCATTCAACCCAGGATGCTACACACTACACCACTCATTACACTGCAACACGTCTCCAGCATTAGAGCTACAAAAATTGACTCATGATAATYAACTTCAACACAAGCTAGCTTCTACTTAACATCTTAGTACAGAAGCAGTATTAAAAACACATTTTTTTCTACACYGAAAGAGAATGAGGATTAATTTTATTACTATTTTCTTGTTTTGGTCCCAGGCAAAAAGTGAGAGCACTGACAGGTGCACTGGATGTGGAGTAGGCAGATAGCTGTATGGTCAACTAAAGACATTGTAAAGAGCTACTAACAGCATCCCAGCTGCATTATCTCACTGCTGGGACTGCAGTTAGTTGGAAAGGCTTTTAAGGGGGGGAAAAAAGTCTATAATTGCCTAGAATCCTCTCTTACTGAACCACTAAGATTATTTCAGCAAATGCAAAAACATYGTGAGGGAGTTCAGCTAGCAAAAAGTGGTACACCTTTACTCATGTTGGTAGGCCTGTGTTATAAGCTTCTGCTAACCATTTGTCTCTAAATATTCAGTATACATTTTGATCTCTAAAACATTTCACATGTGACAGTAGTTTATGCTGTTATTAGCAGTTGAGCTAAAGAACTAGGAGACATGTAAGTTTATGTGGCACCTTTAAGTAATAAGAAAATAAAATCCAGTAAATACACATGTCAGAAGGTAAGGCTGTCAAAGGGCTGCTTCATCACAGGAATAAAAATCATGATCCCAAAAGGATATCAGCACTTACAAAACCTGTTTATTGTTAAAGGTTAAGATGTAAAAGCATCTTGAAAAACAAACCCATCGATAAATGCAAAGTAGTCCCATGGTCCTAGTTATACGTTCACT